ACTACCTTTGGATTATCTTAATGAGGTCATGCAGTGACGGTCACGATACCAGTGTTGGATATGCTGCTTCCTGGCTTAACTATTGGCTCTTGCCCTTGCTCAACGATACGAACTTCAACACCGCGAATACGCTCATCTTACTTACCTTTGACGAGTGCGTTTCTTCCCATTGTATCATGCTCGTTGAATTCTAAGTTCTTGTTTGCAAAGAAACGAGACCTATACGATTGGTAACAATGTATTCAGTCTCCTCTTGGGTGGAGTCATTCCCCAGGCCCAAAAGAATACCACTGATGCAACGTTCTATACACATTACTCGACGTAAGTTTTGAAATTTAATGTAGGTGTCAGACTAACAGGTCTACGAACAGACTTACAACTGTCCAGAACAACTGGGACCTCGGTAACCTTGGTCGTCAGGACACTAACAAGACGGTGTCTAGTGCGTACGCTTTGCGCATTTTTGCATTGCATTCTGATTGTGTCATCCAGATGTTTTCGACTTCGTTGCTTCGCACACATCATACAAGAACAACAACCTCACAGCTTCTTCTACCCTTCCCCAGCTCAACATCACCGGGACCATCCCAGGGCCGTTGAACCCTGACTACTACGTCCCCTATCTAGCACCCACAAACGGTACTGGTGGTGGTAGTGGACCGACCTTCTTTGCTTCTAACGTTAACATGACCCTGAACTCGAGCGATGCTCCCGCACCAATCAATATAACTGCTGCCACAACCACCAGCTCTGCTGCTGGTCTGATGAGCAATGCAGGCAGCATGATTACTGCAATCGCTGTTGCTGCAGTTGCAGCAATGCTGTTCTAGTTGATGTAGCTACTAGTATGTAGTATTGCAGTAAAGTTTATCCCACATTATTTTTATTGCGTCGGACAATGATATTTGCTAATGTGCGAACAAGAATTGAGGTGTCGTTGTACAAGATATGTGCCAGTTACCATCAGAGGTCCGAATGCCAACCTTCGTTCAGTTGTCAAGACCCATCCACACTCCAATGCGTTCCCAAGTTTTCTGACGCATTCTCGTCCAGGCTTCCCGTCTTGCCCGCACACAGTCTGAACACCAGCCTTCTTCCTCGTCCCATTTGATGTCGATGAGGGCTTGAAGTCCGCACAAAGGGTCAAACTGATACTCGTCGTAGAGCCCAGAGTCGTGGACGCGCCTCTCCCAAGCGTCTTGCTTCAAAGACAGAGATGGACATCCGGGGAGACGCGGTGAGGCAGAGGACGACCCAAGGATGTGGGCTCTCCCGGCGGTCGTCGTCTCCTTTGACTGGTTGGGGCATTTGAAGGAACGATCTACGCGCACCGCAACCTGTGACCAGGCCGAAATGAGATGCTCTCTCATGCGTTCCAAACGTCTTTCGTCTGCGCGGCTAATTTCCTGAGACTCTTCTCCTTTGTCGCCGTTCAACTCGCCGTCACCAAGACCATAGCCTGTTACCCGAACCATTTCATAGAAAGCCCTCTTTAAGACGCTTTCGATGCCACAGGTCCGTGCAAGAATCACGACTTCCACTGCATTAGTTTTAGTTTCTGTAGTGATATCCACGAGAGATGAGGACCAGGCATTCTCTAAGAGTTTCACGGCGAATGCTCGATACGCGTCGAACTCTAATCTAGTTGCTGCGCGAAGGATAGCAACCAAGACCTGGAACGTAGGGGGGCTGAAATAATAAGCCCTGTGAAAAGTAGTAAGTATCAAACAAGAATGGAGAGACGGATTACTTACATTGGGTTCCTATCGAGCTGTAGTAATGCCTCGAGATCTGTCGGTGTGGTATTCGACAGGTGGTATACCAATCCATGCTCGTCGCTTTCGACTACGACACTGTCGTCCATAAACACATCTTGTTCATCCAAGAGGCCAGCAAAAAAGGTTGACTGGTCAATGAGCCTAGAACGGTGGAGTTTGAAGAGCACGCCTCCAACCTCGAGGACCGTGTTTCCATCAAGGACCCAGAATTGTTCGTGTTTATGCGCTACAGGTACGGCTAGTTCCAACTTTGAGCGCTTTGTGGGGCGGAGGTTATTCCTTGAGATATCCTCTTTACAGCTGTGAGAAGATTCGATCGAAGCCCTTCTCTTCCCCTTGCCGTTATTCTTGTTCTTTTCCCTATCTTCATCGTCAGAAGTAACGGGATGGGATAGAGTCGAAGAGCTCTGAGGCTCAATCGGGAGAGCCCGGGGCTTCGCCTTGCAAGCCACAGGACGTGGACGCTTTGGTGCTGGCTGTGAGGAAGAAAGTGCGACACTATCAATCGCCATCGGCGACTTTGATATGTTCGAAGAGATAACGTCCTGAGAACGGATAGCAGAAACATGAACAGAACCTTCCACACCACCACTTTCAAAAGTGGATTTTGTAGGCTGCGATGCTGAAGGACGCGTCTTTGCGAGCATTTGTGACACAGAAGGAAAGTCGGGCTCGGGAGAGGATTCTAGTTCTGCCTTTGGTGGTAAATCGCCCTTCAAGGAAAGATCAATGCTCGGGTCTAAAGGAGTCATAGGGTTATACGATGGTAGGGGAAAAGGTTGTGACCGAGAAGGCGCGCAGGGAGGTGGTAAAGAAGATGGAGTACCCCTAGTGGAGCTAGTTGGTAACCTTCCTTTTGACTTAGCTTGAGGCGCATTGCTGCTGTAGCCAGGTCTAGGAGACACTGGTAACGACCTTGCAGAATTAGTGTTTGCTGCTTCGACGTCGTCTCTCAGAGAAGTATGAACTGTAGCGTGGTCTTCACGGTTGTTTTCAAGCTTTTCGTCGCTGCCTTCAAGTTTGGCGGCTTTGTTTTCAGCCTCGTCTTCATTTTCACCTTCGTCTTCGTCTTCATCTTCTTCGGCCTCATCTTCGTCTTCGTCTTCACCTTCATCTTCATCTTCACCTTCTTCTTCGTCTTCACCTCGACCTTCCTCATCTTCCATTTCTTCGTCTTCACTTAGGTCAAAGTCGCCTTCGCGTACGGAGTAGTCTGTTTCAGTGTAAGTGTTGTCGTTGTCTTCATCTTTAGGTTCATAATCTTCGTCGTCTTCGTCATCTTCATCATCGCCATCGTCTTCGGGTCCCATTAAAAGGTCGGATGTCTGTGGCTCTCGAAATTTAGCGCTGTTGTGGACGCCTGCATTTTTTTTGCTTTGATAGGATGCCGACTGCACATGAGCTGGTACTGACGCGGACGAAGCATGGCCAATGTGGCCAGATAGCGACAGCGATTCATCTGTAGCCATTTTCGTGTGCTGGTCAGAAGATGAACCAAGCCTGTTTTGCGCGGAATTCCAAAATAAAAAAACGTGATTTTATCTCAATTACAACCGTGACATCATAGTAAATAACCAAGAAGCAGTCGTACCTTGTCCTAATAAGTCCGGAAGACCTTCAAGTTCTGTGGCATAAGGCAGGAGGTTTATAGTATCAACCATCACAATGCCATTGATCCTGCGGTAGTACGCTTCTGTGATTGCTCGAAAACGTTCGTTCTTAATGATTGCAATTCAATATTGCAAGCCTAGGCGAGGCGCTTAAAGCTTAATCGCCCAATAACCTTAATTGGTGTTTAACCGACACGTGACCGTGTTGCTCATGTGACGCAACTGTCAACGGCTCAACGTCGTCAAGTTCAACGAGATCAGACACTTAGTCACTCGCCCCTTCATGCTCCTGGACGCTGCACCTCGTGGAATTCCATGGCTAAGAGCACTTTTGATATGTCTTCTTTTTTGAGGTCTGAATCTTGTGCGAGGGATTTTGACCCTGTCTATGTTGGTTTTGCGTAACAAAACTGCATTGTCAACAACCTTTGCAGCAACAGCATGTGTACAGTAGGTGTGTAGCAACTTCAAGCTCGAGTCTTTTATTATACTCACTATTGTTCCAGGTTAAAAACACGCTCTTTTTCACTCATTGTATGATCCGCTGCGGTCAGCCATCCCATCTATAATGCTCTCGCAAACCCTCCCTGGTGTTTCCACTTTTTAGCGCATCCTTTCAGCAATTTATATTGATTCTACTATGAATACACTGGATTCGGCGTTTTTCCTTACTGTGTGCTAAGTGAGTGGTACGACTCGGCGATTAAAGTCCAGGAGTAGCAAGTATCATAGGATGCGCATGTCCCTTTTACCCTTAACGTGCCACTCTCACTGATGTCTCTGACCTTGATATTACCTATTTCTTTAGCACGCACATGTACTCCCTCTAACACTATGTATTGACTATATTTCTCAGCGCTTTGTGTAATCGCACAAGCGTTTATTGTTTCAAACAAACAAATGTCATGGAAATACATGTGCAACAAGGCCTGGATCATCAACCTTTTCTCATTCCCCCGTCTTTTCTTACCACTCACTCCACCAACCATCAAGCATATCCCCGATCCTCCTCGTTTTCTTCACCACACCAGCATGTTTGGTGACTTGAGTTGTGAGTCACTGCATATTATCCTCGTATCCGTTTCATGATCCTCGCGCTCGACTCAGATCAACAGTCATCAACGCAAAAAATATCTACCAATGCCCCCCTCCTTGCGCATGCCCGCTGGCAGTTACCTATACATCAGTCTCGACTCGAGGAAACGCTGGAGACCAGCTACTAGAGTCTGTCATCCTACGAATATATCACTAGGGTGGAATGAGATAGTGACTCTGTAATGTCCACGGGTACTTCCGGATGGATCTGTCAGTGCTTGCATCCGTTTCAGAACCGAGTACTAATCTGCAAACCAGGCGTTCTGACCAAGGTATTTGTGCTAGAGTATCTTTGTGCCCTACAATCGCACGGTCACCATTACGAGCCGAATCTTCCATATTGAAGGGTCATCGAACGTCTGTGCTTTTAATTTACATCACATTGAAATGTACTTAAATGAAATCATAGATGACGTGTGGGTTCGTGGTCAGGTTGGCGTATACTACCACAGACAAGTTGTTTATCAGTCTAGCCCATATGCATGATTATGACTCAAACACAAGAGACCTAGTTACAGTGAAAACATAAAAGCGAATGCAAAGCTCAAGCCATATGCATTGGAATTCCCACCGTCATACGAAGCCTGCTGAATATGATTTAGATGTACGAACAAGCACATTGACACCACATTCGGCATTTTGCCACTTCGCATGCGACTCCTTGGGCCATGGAACAATCGTATGATTTCACATCCCATCTTTATTGTCCATCGGTAATTTCTGACGTCCCACAATATGTTGTCCGCTGTCTGTCCCTTGGCTCATACTCGAGCCACTTTTGCTTTGCTCATTATTGCACGGACCTTGTTCCACAGTTCCACATTCCACATTTCCACACCTCCACACTTCCGTTTCTCATATATAACCCCCATGGATTCCCTGATACCGACATCAGACCTTTTCCATCTGCCCAATTCATACCCTCCCCATCTACTTCAATCAAAAATGTTCTTCCTTCCCCCCTTCGCAGCTGACCTTCCAAAGCTGCCTTTGGAAAACATGGAGGCACACGCAGTCAATCGCCTGACCTGGATTGCAGGATATGACATCGAAACCCACGTAAGCACGTTGCGCGTTTTTACTGATCTTCAAACTAAACTTGGTGTCTAGGAATGGGTGACATTCCAGGGTCTAGATTGCGATGAATCTTACGATAAACGTGCGTGGAGAAAGCTGGTCAAGGACCAACAGACTATGGTATGGGCGGGAGTAACTCTGGGATCCTTGTCCCGCAAGCTAACGTATTTGTTGCAGGAACGCATGCAATCCTTATTAGATACCATTGGATGTTCACCTGATATTCCACAGTCAGAGACAGTTCTGGAAGGCATGGTATGTTTTGACAGCGACGCTTCTGCATCACTCTCGTTTACCTTTACCATTTACAGAATGTCGTCCTGAGAGGGGCCTTAGGGACGGGAAAAAAGACAGTTGCTTATGCAGTCTGCAATATGCTCAAGCGCCCGATACTTGACATTCGGGTGAATGACATCCCATACCTTGCCGATGTGAAACCGTGGGCCGCCAAATTAGCATCGGTATGTACCATCCGCAGGCCGTGATGCATCTCTGACGTTATGTGACTTAGCTTGCGATCAAGTGGAATGCCTTGATAGTCATAGACCGCGGGGATGTAAGTATCGTCTCTCACAGCGTTCATTATATTCCTTCTGAACACACGTCGCACAGAATATCATGAGGTCTGAATGTGCAAACAATCGAGTATGTTCTTGATTGTTGTATGGTCAATGCTGTTCTAGTATAGCTAACTCTTCCGCCAGGAACGCATCAACTTGATGATTCGAGCATTTGAGTCGCCCGGATGTATCTGTCTGTGGCCCTCGGTGTTGACGGACGAACAGCAGGCACTACTCAGGCCGTTCTCTGCTGGTGCGTGCCTTAGCTATCTGACCCAATTGTATCACTGACTTTTGCCCGTTACAGCCATCGAATTCCCTGATCTCGATCTAGCAGCCCGTCGCAAACGTTGGCTACAACTCTTTGGCCGAGACGACCTGGTGGCAACTATCTTTAGCAGCAAACACGCATCCGTCCCTACCGTGAGGGACACGGAGGTGTGTGCCTTCCTTCGGGAGATTGAGAAAATCTCTTGGTACGAACTCGATGGTAATGTCATGTCTGGATGACGTGAGGCGGTGCTGATGACGCTAATAGCATCGGACATCCAAGACTTCATGAATATGGCACGAAGATTGGCTGGGTAAGTCGAAGTCGGTTGATATAAGTTGTTCCTGACAATTAATCATTGCCGCACAGGGAACAAGATCCAACCCCTCAGCACGTAAGGGAGTGTCTCAGATTGTGGGACGTGCCCCTTTCTGTACGGAGCAAGGTAGTGCGGTTTTTAGCGCTTCATGAGATGCATCCACGTAAGGAACCCAGTTTATTTAGAACACGGTGAAGATGTTATGCCTGTTTGAAATATTTGCTTGCTATTTTTTACTCTATATATGTGTTTATGGCTCACGATACTCCACTGGCAGTCACTTACTTGTCATTATGTATATGAAATACCCATGTCATGAAAGAGACGGAGGACCTGAGGCTCGTGATCGTTAGCTTATTGCTTCTTGTATGCAACACGGTCTGGGAGAGCACTAGGTCTCATACACGAACTCCAAACTAAACCCTGCACCATCGGAATCAGACATTCTCGTCGTATCACCGAATCTGCATCAACCACGATTCTGTATGCCTCTAATAGCTAAAATACCTGAATCACCAATCAGCAGGATCTGCGAACAACATTAATCATCGATGGCCTATTGTTTTCTTCATTACTAATCTTGATACAGAGATCCAACGAATGAAAATAACCACAAGTCCCGACTTATACTCACCCAGGTTCACAGCGTTATGGATGAGTTTGAGGATGACCAATGTGCTACATACTTAGTACTGATTCATCATCATAACATTAATATGCGACCAAAGCTAAATTGAAGCAAACTGGTAGGTGTACGTAGAGGCTTAACTATGTTCATAAAATAATTGATTGGCGAGTCAGAAAGCATTAAAGCAAGCCAGGTAAGTTCGATAAATTAGAAAAAAATCTATAATGGTGGAGTCTGATCAGCAACCGGTACACACGAGAAGTAGTCACATACATCATGTCTTAGACTTATCCGTCCATCTGTGATGGTATATGCAGCGGAGGCATCTTTCTCTAAAATTACTCAATATCAGGGATCAACTTGTCCATTTCCGTCCATAAGTCTTGTTGCATCTTTCTCCAAGCAGCTCGTCTTGATCGGACACAATCTGCGCACCAGCTTTCCTCCTTCCACGGGATGTTGATCAACTCCTGAGCACCACACACTGGGTCGAACAGGAATTTTGTGTACAGCCCAGAGTCATGTACACGTTCGTTCCAGGTAACCTGTTGGGTGGTTTGAGGTGGACACTTGTCTGGAGAGTCCCAGTCTGACGCAAATGAAAAAAATACGCTGAGGTATTGGATAACCATGAAGCAATGAGACAGTACCTCGTTCTACAAGTGACACCCTCCTAATTTTGTTCGAGAAGGGTTGGTCACGGCAAGGAAACGTATCGATTCGCACAGCGACCTCTGACCAAGTGGTGACCAAGAGCTCTTTCATGAGCCCCACGCACCTTTCGTCTGCACGACCAATCTGCGGGAGCACTGACTGCCCAAGAACATCATCATACAGACTAATCCGCCGGGTCCTAGCAAGTTCGTACAAAGCACGTTTCATAACACCATTCAAACCACATGAACGTGCAAGAATAATGACACCCGCAGCGTCTTCCTTAGGCTCAGGGGTTAAATCCTCCAGGGACGATGACCATGTATGTTCAAGAACTCGAACTGCCCAGGTACGATATGTTTCGAAGCGCAAGGCAGTCGCCGCGCAGATAATGGGGGCAAGAGTTAAGAATGAGGGAGGTTGGAAGTAATATTCGCTAAACATAGTCAGACCGATCCATGCAAACACAAATGACGAGGATTACGTTGGGTTATCATCAAACTTCAAGAGAGCCGTAAAGTCGTCCGCCGTAGTAGTGTTACCGAGGTGGTATACCGTCACTTTATCATCAACTTCTACCCGCACGTCGTCGTTCGGAAAGTTATCTTTGTCATAATTTTCAAGCAGCTGCGCGAAGAATAATGACTTGGAAACGAGCCTCGAGCGATGAAGCTTGAACAGTACTCCATCAACTTCAATAACAGTATTGGCATCCGAGATATAAAAATCTTCGTGTTTTCGGGGGGTAACATGGTTGGATTTAGCCCGCTTGCGAGAGTGTCCTTTGCCGGGCTCCTTGCTGATCGTTCCGTCGGTGGCTTTCCTCTTTCCCTTGGTCTTACAACGTGTCTTCGCATCATCCTTGTTGGCGCATACACTGGGCGTTGTGGAGCCATCTGAGACCTTCTGAAGAGCTGTTGGGTTCTGTTCCATTTCACCGACGTTGATATGCGAGGTTGACGATGGTGGCTGGGACCTCGAAGGACTGCATTCCAATACGTCTGTCCCCTGATCCTGGTGAATGTGAGATTCAGCAGCTTCGAATTTCATTGCACTTGCATCTGGTGCTACGGGAATTGTTTTGGTGCAACACTTTAGACAGTGAGCACTTGCCAAGCAAAGCTAACTGACCAAGAGATGTTCCTTCTGCCTCGAGCGATGGAGCCATACAATTATTTAAACTTCAAAGGGGGTTTTCAAAGTAAAATTCTGAACGTTCTGAAATGATGGTTTGGAAGATGCGCTTGAAATTTAGCTTAATTTACGTACGAACTCCGCTCAATTCATGCATTGTAGCGCTGACGCGCTATGTACATATAGTTCCCGGGTCTCTTTGCATTTTCCTGTCATTTTTCAACACTCGTTTGCGCTCAATTTTCAATATGACCTGCTGTCCTGGGAGCTAACTCATTGCACAGAAATCTCCTACTGTGTGAAAAGGTTCCACTCGTGCACTTTTTCTCTCTGACTGTGACGCCATATGTACGGTCCGCCTTTGAACCTCCCGTTATTCGTTCCGAGTCCTCGATGCTTGATGTTGCCAATGATCATCGAACTGCGGGGCCTTTCTCTTTTCTGCACGCTGTTGAGTATTGTCGCTGTTGTATTTTACACTACTTACTCGTAAGCTCTCTGTTCTGTTCTTCTGTCTGCATTGGTTTATCCTCTCCCACAGTGTGCGATGGTCGCCTGCAAAGTCCCGTGCCGCATCACACGCGTGCTTGGCGAGCGTTGTTGTCCACCGCATGCGGTTGCCCATAGTACCTCATTTACTATGATGCACTTGATTATCATCCGTGGTGTTTCGAAAACTCATGTTCGTGCTTTCGTGATCTTTCGTTGAGCACCGTGCCAATTGTTGTTCGTGCACTGAGCTGTTTGCAGGTTGTGTGTGGTCTGATGGCGGGTCGATTGTAGTGACTCACAGCAAGGCGTTTGTGTTATGGTCTCTTGTCTTTCGGGCATCCAACTATACTCGCTGCGCTGTGCTGCATTGGTTGGCTTCTGATCATACGTTCTGATGCGGTGATATCTGTTATTACATTCATGGGTCGTTTCCCTGCTTCTTTCCGGCACAGCCCTGCCGTAATCGCAAGACATTGGGCGGTCTGAGATCTGATACGTCCGGGAAATGGCCGACTCTAGGTGGCGGTATCAAGTACCTCTGCAAATAGCGGCAGAAAACTCTCAATTGGAGATGAAGATTGTATATTCAGCGCTGCCCAGCACCGCATGCTAGTGACCGTGGCATTTGGTGTGCTCTTGGTAAATATAACAATAAGCACAGTGGACTCTGAAAATATGCACGGTAGCACGCTAAGTCGATTGTGCAGGATCGCTTCTTGGCTTAGTACCAAGTGGCACTCTGACTAGGACCCCGGAATTCCTCGGATCCCAGTACTGCGCTCACCAGCGTTCTAGACGTCGCCGACGTCAAAGTCTCCAAACCTAATACCAATAGACGCCAGATCAACTCCAACAGATATACTGTTGTCTTCAGAGTTAATGGCCACCGGGAAGTCGCGTCCAACGCCCTTGGGGACCGGCAATACGAGCACTCGGGCTCCTACTCCCACAAATAGAATCAGAGCATCCCATCGTAACACAGTATCATTGCTGTTGACAAGAGACGAAATCATGCTACAAGAATACGATGTCAAAGACAAAGAAAGCAGTACCACATTCCTAGAGAAGTCCCCCTTCCGCCACCTAGGCGAACCTATGTCGAACGAAAGTCTAATACTAACAATTCTTCACATCACTCAGTACACCGGCATCCCTCGTACAGCTATAGAAGGACTCAGGGCTGTCGCAATACTCCTCGAAGACAACTTCAATAGTACTCATTCCTCAACTTCAACCACCCAGCAGCTCGCCGACTCTCTTACGACATCGCTCTCGGCCCAAGTCGTGGCCGACCTCTCGTCATCACTCTCAGCGCACGTTATAGCGGCTATTTCGCCTCAAATAGCCTCCATAAGAGCGCCAAATTCTGCTAGAACCAGCAATAGGCGGGAGGATATACGAACCTAACGACAACTCAATAGATATAGCAAAGAAAATCAAGAACGCATTCGCAGCAACTTCGACCAAAGACTCACCCGAGATTCAGATTAAGGCTACTACTCGCTTGAGAAGCGGAGGACTCATAGTAGAACTAACTACGGCAGAAGCGGCAAACTGGCTACGCGCACCAGAAAACAGGCTGAAAGTCACAGGCGCCCTAGAATCCCCAGTCTACATCAAGGAACGGCGCTTCACAATCATCGTCCCATTCCTGCCAGTAACATTCGGTATTGAGGACGCAGAATGGCGCCGTGCAGCAGAGGAGGAAAACAGCTTACCAATAGGCTCCATAGAAGCGGCTGGCTGGATTAAACCCAGAATCCGGAGATCACCAGGCCAAAAAGTAGCTCACGCTCTATTCCACTTCGCAGATCCAAAGGCAGCCAACACAACACTACATGACGGCATCTACATCAATCAAGAAAAATACCACCCGCATGAGGACAAAAGGGAACCGGTAAGATGCGTCAAATGTCAATTATGGGGCCACATAGCAAAGGACTGTAACACTTCAATGGACATGTGCGGGACTTGCGGCAAAAATCACAGGACCAACAAATGCAATGCCTACAAAACATTCTACTGCGTAAGCTGTAACTCACAGAATCATGCGAGCTGGGACAGGAACTGTCCAGAATTCGGAAATAGATGTGCAGGAATCGACGCTAAGCTCCCAGAAAACTCAATGCCCTATTTCCCCACTGACGAAGATTGGACACAGGTAATGCTGCCTCCAAAGCCAGTGCCCTATCGAAAACCCATCGAACAGCTGCCACCCGAAGCTAGACCCCCCCTCCGTCAAACTAACCTCCCCTACGAAACCAGAAGAAACTATGGCAAGCCATCGTGAGGCATGCCTACACAATTCGGCCGTTCCCACTTCCGTGCATTTACACCAACAGGCTCTAACTCGATCCCACTCCCTCCAGGCTGGGACAAGGATCCCCCTCGGCCAGCAACCCAGCATCAAACCTCACCTACAGACACAACCACTCCATTAACCCCCCCCATTCATCCCTCCACCAATGAGCCATCAACTCCCGCCTCCATTCTGTCCTACCCCACTTCTTCTCCCTCCTCCTCTCGAAATGACACACCACGGACCCAGACCCCTTCTAATGTCTGAACAAACTAACAATATGACGACCAGACTACAAATATGGCAGCAGAACCTTAATACATCTCTGATAGCCCAACACTCTCTCCTCAACAGCCCTATTGCTCGCGACTGGGATATACTAGCCCTGCAAGAACCCCACATCAATTGCACGAAGAATACGATATCGTCGCCCTACTTTCATGCGGTCTACCCCACCACCCATTTCTCATCCCCAGAACTAACCTCCCGAGCCGTCTCACTAATATCCAAAACTCTAGATACCAACTCATGGCAACAGATACCATTTCCATCTCCTGACGTCGTAGTCATCCAATTCCGTGGACCCTTTGGACGCTGCACCATCTTCAACATCTACAACAATTGCAAACTAACGAAAACTCAAGAAGTACTAACCTCATTTCTCGAACGCGAGATCACCCGTCTACGACCATCGGCGGACGATCACATGATATGGCTTGGGGACTTCAACAGACACCATCCCTTATGGGACGAAGACAGGAACTCGCAACTCTTCAATAATCAGTATCTCAACACGGCGCAGCCACTCCTAGACCTCATAGCAGACTATGGCATGATCATGACGTTACCCAAAGGTTTGCCGACCCTCCAACTCCAAGAATTGGACACGCCCAGATAACGTGTTCTGTACTGACCATACAGGAGAATCCTTTATAAGTTGCACGACTAACCCAGCCCTACGCGGACCAGCAACGGACCATGTGCCCATCTTAAGCATCCTCGAACTCGAACTCCCTCAAGCGACGACTGATATCAAGCACAACTACCGTGAAGCAGACTGGGAAATATTCAACGAGGAACTAGAACTAGAGTTGGACAAGATCCCACCGGCTCAACCGCTCGCTACCGAAGCTGAATTTCAGACCGCAGCACGCACCCTTATGGCTGTGATCCAAGCAGTCATAGAACGTGTCGTCCCCAAGTCTAAGCCCAATCCCCACTCAAAGAGATGGTGGACTAAAGACCTAACCATCATGTGTCGCAAAGTCGCGAAACTAAGCCATCTCTCGTACAAGCACAGAGACTACGCAGGCCACTACAGTCACGAGGAGCACCGAATCAAACATAATCAGTACACCGAAGCCATCAAACGGACCAAGAAGGACCACTGGATTGAATGGCTAGAGGACCTCTCGGGTAACGACATATGGATTGCTAACAGATACCTTACAGCAACAGCGGGCGACGGAGGCTTATCTAGGATCCCCACCCTCGAGCGTTCTGACGGAGGCACGGCCGACACCAATGAAGACAAAAGTGCGGCCTTAGCGCAAGCCTTTTTCCCCCCCCCTCCAGAACATTCATCAGTACCAGAAGACTACGACTACCCGGAAGCTGTCCCTACCCCAGCACCTATATCTACGACGCAGATCGAACGTAGCATCTCGAAGTTGAGCTTATACAAGGCCCCAGGCCCTGATGGGATTTGTAATGTTGTCTTTAAACGTTGCACTTACTTACTTCAACCCTATCTCCTCCATTTATACAGGGCCGTATTCACACTCAAGACATATTATAATCCATGGCGCGACTTCGTAACCGTTGTCCTACGAAAGCCGGGCAAGCCGGACTACACGGTAACGAAAGCATTCAGACCAATAGCACTCCTCAACACGATCGCTAAACTACTGACTGCCGTAGTAGCAGATGAAATGACTTACCTCCTAGAACGACACAACCTCCTCCCCAGCACACATTTCGGAGGCAGACCGGGCCGTTCAACGACAGACTCACTTCATCTACTCGAAGCCACGATCAAGGACGCATGGCGCCAAAAGAAGGTAGTATCTGCTTTATTTCTAGATATAGAGGGAGCCTTCCCGAATGCGGTTACTGACCGTCTACTACATAACATGCGCACCAGGAGACTCCCAGAAACATTGGTGAGATTCACGGAACGACTGCTAATGGGAAGGCGCACGCAACTAAAATTCGATGGTCACTTATCGGATTGGATCCCTATTACTAATGGTATCGGACAGGGAGACCCTCTATCAATGATATTATATATCATATACGACTCGGACTTGGTCGATATAGCTAAGGGTCACACGAAGACTGAACGTACCCTTGCATTTGTGGACGACACGGCGTTTATAGCCATCGGGAAGACCTTTCAAGAGACTCACAACACTCTGAAGAACATGCTAGAACGGAGAGAAGGAGGTTATGAGTGGGCCCTAGCGCACAACTCGAAATTCAAAACATCTAAGTTTGCACTAATGGATTTCTCTTTGAATTCAGCTAAAGATCGGCCCCCACTCATCACACGCGGCATCACGATCACGCCCACTGCGACACACAAGTTCCTGGGAGTTATATTGGACGACGCACTAAGATGGCAAGCCCACATAGCCTACGCTATAGCGAAAGGCACAGCTTACGTCTTCCAACTTCGTCGGCTCTCCTCCACATCCAACGGACTCCCACTCTCCCTGATGCGTCAATTATATCTATCTGTAGCACTACCGAAAATGCTCTATGCAGTCGACCTCTGGTTTCGCCCCTTGTTTGTCGGCAACAACGACAAACCTCAATCAGGGTCGATAGGAGTAGCACGTCGTATAGGCCGAGTACAAAGACTCGCTGCCCTAAGTATCACAGGCGCCATGAGAACCACTGCTAACGATACTTTAGAGACTCACGCGAAACTACTCCCAATGGAACATCGGATGCAAAACCTATGCTACCAAGCCGCAATATGCCTAGCCGCACATCCGAAGTCTCATCCGCTAAACGAACCTGTCCGCAAAGCAGCCAAGAAATATGTCAAACGCCACCGTTCATCCCTGCATCACATATATCATGCCGCTGAACTCGACATCAACTCGGTCGAGACCATCAAACACAGCAGACGTCCCCCGAACGACAAGAACTCGTACTCTACCCACATCGCCTCGACAAGAGAACTAGCTATAGCAGCCCATAATGCTAACAACGATGAAGTCAAGGTTTACTGCGATGGGTCGGGAATAGACGAGAAAGTAGGGGCAGCAGCAGTGTTATACAGGAGGGGAAAACCACGTCCAAGTATCTTACGCTATCATCTTGGAACTACTGACGAGCACACAGTTTTCGAAGCAGAAGTCGTTGGCCTAACATTAGCAGCACAATTGATCTCGCAAGAAGAAGACATCACGTACCCCATCTCCATATTCGTCGACAACCAAGCATCAATCAAATCCGGTGACATCTTCTCCACCAAACCAGGCCACTACCTGACAGACCACTTCCGCAGTTTACTGAACCAACTTAAGAAAACCAGCCGCAACCAAAACTTCAAGGTCAACGTTCATTGGATTTCAGGGCACGACGGAGTAGAAGGAAATGAGAAGGCAGACAAGGAGGCCAAGATAGCAGCAAAGAACTGCAGGGAAAACAGTGCCACGCACAGACTGCCACCTTACCTTCGGAAGGGAGTGCTCCCCAGCAGCCTGTCGGCATTGAAACAGGCCCAGAAGAAAGACTCATCGAAACATTGGAACAGAACTTGGCTGAAGTCCCCAAGACACGCTCACGCTATCTCCATCGACCCCAAGCTCAATGCTGCAAGCAAATCGTTCATTTCGCTAGTCCAACACCTACCTAAGCGGCACATCAGTCTAATGCTCTGGCTCCGCACCCGCCATATATCACTCAACCAGCATCTGCATCGCATCGGAAAAAGTATGTCCCCCAACTGCCCCCACTGCGCTGATACCCCAGAGACCGTCCAACATTTCCTCCTATCATGCCCGCAATACGCACGTGAGCGCCACACGCTCACCAATGTCCTCAAACGTCGCGCATCCTCCATATCATACCTGCTTTCAGATACTAAAGCCACGGACCATCTCATTCGATACGTCAACAGTACAGGACGCTTGAAACCCACTTTCGGTGATGTTCCTCCCAGTACTTGCAAGAAATAGATAACGTCAGTTTGCCCCACAGAGAAACAAACATCCTACGCGCTTGCAATCCATGTAAGCCCTTATAGCACTCGCTGTCGCAGGGCAATACATGCCAATCCAAGGCCGATCTGGAGACCAGTCGGAAGGAGACACATGAGATGAGGAAGGGCTAGAACTTTCGTCGAAGAGCTACATGGTACAGCAGGGATCAACTCGCAGCATGTCGCGCCAGCCCAGACCTACCTTTACCTTTCTATCCGTGCTCCATTTACTCCCCTCGTACAACGATCGCTCCAGCGGTCCGAGTATTTGTATACCCATTATCATACGGTCAGCCTACACACAAACGAGAAGTATCAGAAACGGCCCTGTGGAGTAGTAGACTCGTGCATCTAAAATGGCTGGCAGGAACGGCAGACCAGTGGAGGTCATACCTCCACTGGGGCATTTGCAGAGTCGGAGACACGGTGGGGGACACAGGTGTCCCCCTTTCCTAGATAGAATTGTCCTACATAGGGTACTGCACCCCAACCGGACAAAAATTGGATTCAAAAAAAAAAAAAAAAAAGTCGATTGTGCAGAGACGGAGATCAGTATCAGATCAGAAATTGAGATGGAGCTATGACAGCTAATGGAACAGATCTGTAACTTACATGTGGATCTGAATTAGATACAGGCCGCAGATATTGCAAGGCCGGGTCGGTGCAGAGATAGTGCGACACTAGCCAAAACTATTGTCCGCTTATACATTACACCAAAAGGCAGTGATACTGAAAGCTTATGTTTCAGTATCGCAGACAGTATCTATGTAGATTATGGGAATTCTAGTAAAGCGTAGCTAGGATGAGTGGCTGATATCACATGAGACCAGGTAATGCGATATACCCGCTAGGAGCACTAATCCATAAGAGCACTACGGTAATCAGAGAATAAACCCTGTGTTAGATCAATGGCCATGAGAACTCCTCAATGTCTGCAAGCTTGTAGCAAGATCACCCCAAAAATAGTGCACCGGTATCCACTGAGTATGGTCACGTGTAAGAATATCAATGGGCCGACTCGCCTTGGCTCCGAGCAGGAACAGATGTCCGAATCACCATGATCGTGCCGATTTTGGCGATACAAGCGCTGTCCGCTGGTATATCTAGCATGAACGCTAGGACAATAATCGCTATACACTCCTAACATCCCTCATCCCTCGAATATGACCGTAGTTTCAAATGATCCCAGTTCGTGGTCGTTCATCAATTCCAGTATTTTTTTCACCTATTGGACGGGTTCGCCATATCAGTTGGTTACTATGTCATAATTTGATATTGACTTGTGATTTCGCAGTTGCCGCAGCCTTCGTGGTAGTATACGATTGGGGTGAGCAGCAGTGTTCTGAAATTGCTGATATTCTCATGATATTCCCAGTATTAACACTCGCACAAGAGGTAGGTTGATGCTACATCAGTAAATTCACAAACTCCTTAGCGTCCTTTTTCGCCACTTGTCACGAAAATCTTCAACATGTTGCCGCTTATTATTCTTATGCACTTGTCATTTTTCTTTCACAAGCACTCACAAGTAAATGTGTGATTCACAAGTGCCCACAAGTGCAACAAGCGCCAAAAGCAAGGAAGACTAAAGTGTGTCGTAGATTACAAGTAGATAAAATTTTACTATGAATAACTACTCCTCGAACATTTGCGAATGGTCTCTGTACCAGACCTCGTATTCTCTGTCCATCCACGGAGGAGCATCATGTTCAGGGTGTTCCCCTGTGTATTGAATCGAGAGACATTGCCAAGTTGTGTGGCGTCGATGACCTTGTGCAAATCCTTGTGATCCGCGAATGGAGGGTGGTCATCGTGTTTCAACAGCTGCACAGCCATTAAGTCGAGTAATAAGTCTGTAGCTTTGTTAGACATATGGCTTTGTTTGAAAACAAACTCTGCCGTTGCAAATTCAATATTGTTACGATACGGGCTCCAGTCATGAGGAGACTTCGGTGGGACAGGAGTTGGTGGTGTGCCAGGGGGCAGAAACACGCCGTCAGCTGTGCATGGTCGTCCTAAGAGCGTGTCAGAATCAGAACACGTGAAAAGCGCAGATTGAAAGGTACTTACCATTGAGGAGCGAGTGATACGTACGATAGTAACACTTGCTTGCATCAGTGAATTCTGAGTCTGGATCCTCATTGTCAGCCATTGGACCAGGTGGTGATCGGGGAGGCGAGAAATCAGGAGGGGGTGGCGAGAAATCAGGGGGGGGTGGCAGGAAATCAGGAGGAGGCGACTGAGGTGGAGATGGAAGCTGTTGCGGTTGGGGAAGATCCAGAGCAGGTGCAACGGGATGGGACGCGTGCATGTGTTGAGTGCGGCCAGAGATGTTTCAAAACCAGCGCATACAACCTGGAGATAGGCATGGAAACTGAAGGGCACGGTGAGTAGGCCGGTTTCTGCGCATCATATGAGTAGTGTTGATGCAACGTATGGACCTAGTGAAGGTTTAAAACCAGCCGCTAATATTGAAGAAAAAATTACCCTTGCAAAGGTGCTGTTGGAACGAAAATGTGCACTACCCCAGAAAGGGTTTGTTAAAATGGACAGTTATGTCATCGCACCACCGGAAAAGTTCTGGTGAACATTGATGACGGTCACCCCACCACAGGAAAGGTTCTGGTGAACATTCCCTAGGCTATTAGACATCATTATATCACCAGAAAGGTTCTGGTAAACATTGATACTCACCGTACTTAAGGTATTTCAATCCGGGACATGTCATTTTGTTAAGCACATTGTGCCGAAAAGCGCTGGCGAATATTGATGCTCCGGATGTTGCAATCGACCCTCAATTCAATACGTTAAGAAATATTATTCAGAGTCAGCTTTGGCTACAAATTTTAGAGTGACGAAACTCACCTTCAACTTGGTAACCCACTGCTTCAATTTTCGTCAGCCTACAAAACCGTCTATCGATAGAATGTCTCAACCTGATGCAGTTACAACGCGCATGGGGACTCGACCTAAGAACGCAACTCAGCATCCCGGGCGCATTTTAATCAATAGTCGTGGAAAGAAGCGTACCACTGCTGAGAAGGCCGCTGACGACCAATGTGAAAGGGAGGCAAAGGAGGCAAGTGAAAAAGCTGTACAAGAAAGTTATCAGCGTATTGCTACTTTGCAGGCACAGATGCAGGCTGACCAAGATGCTATGCGTGTTGACGCACCTAAGCCTAAGTGTCCTCGTGCACGCCCGGTGGGGAAGGCTGCAAAGGACTTGAAGACCTCCGACTCAACTATGGATGATAGGCAGGCAGGAGCAAAAATCGTCGCCGATAAGCCTCTTGTCACCAAAGGCAGGGGTCGCGTGGGTGGAGCTAAAAGGTTAGCAGCTGATGCTAGCGTCGAAAATCCTGCAAGTGAGGATGAGGATGGGGAGCCGGTCCAAACCAAAAAGAAGAAGAAACTGGCGGTGAGAGAAGCAATTCAAGCAGTATTAAACACTGGCATCATTATCGACTCAACAAAGGCACGTGATGGAGAAGTTCAGAAGACGTCTGATGTGTGAGTTTGTTTATCTATCAGTAACTATGATGATGCTTCTTTTGGATTCCACACACGGTTGAAGCTGATGGGCCTGTCCTTGCCGTTGTACGTTTTGTTTTCAAACGTGATTTAAATCTGTCATTTATTTTTCTAGACCCTCCAGTGGCTGTCAGAGTGGCGCAATACCTTTAGCAATGTGGCTCTCGCCGTGCTCGCCAACTTCATGACCTCACAAGATGACCTCAAGACTGACGAGGACCGCAAAGATTTTGCATCGGCCTTACTCGACAAGTTCACCTTTTTATTTGGGGACATCGCGGAGGACGGAGAGGTCTCCAACCCGTTCCAGTCTGACCTTATTGTACAGGTTCTCGTGCAGCACAAGTGTGCCACGTCCGGCGCTGTCAACCTGCCGGGAACGAACGATACAGTGCTGGGGCACTCGAAGGGCGCTCTTAGTCTTGCCACGGCAGCAGCACGTGTTTTCTACCCTCTCATACAGCTGACTTAACTTACCCTGTATTTCAGATGGAACGCGCCATCAGGCTTTTCGTCAATGGACACATGCTCCTAGGAGACATCGACACCTCTGGCAATGGTCGAGGCAACAAGACCCCGCTCGACGTCAATCCGTCCACAGGCAACCAGAGCAGCGTCCCCTTGGCATTTTCAGAAGCCAATTGGGGTGCGCACACGAGGGCTTACATGGCGTCTATCACACGCTTGCCAGACTTGGTCCTTATCCGAAACTCTGAGCTTGCGCAGAGCCTCGCCACGAAGAGGCGTGGCGGCGCGCGGATGGATGTGGACGAAGAATCTGGGGATGAGCGAGCGTTCATTTTCTAGAGGTAATGTCCTTCACTCTTGTAGTTTATTTTGCAACTGACTAGGAGCTTCGACGCTGCTAGTACCTTCAAGGTTATTCATGCTATGTTCCCTGGTCTTTTTTACATGCTGTCTCGTTGCCGCCTCCATTTCCTTTGTCGCGCTCGTTATGTCTCGTTGCCGCCTCCATTTGTCGTGCTCATTATGTCTCATTGCCGCCTCCATTTGTCGTGCTCATTATGTCTCATTGCCGCCTCCATTCGTCGCGCTCGTTATGTCTCGTTGCCGCCTCCGTTTGCTTTGTCGCGCTCGTTATTAATCTACTTGCTAGTCCTTATTTTTCTCCTTGTTTAACCTTTTATCTACTTAATCCTCTTGTCCGGTTGAAATGCAATTCTTTTTCCTGGTAACAAGTGTGAACAAGTGTGAAAAAGTGTATATAGTGTGAACAAGCTAAAAATAAGTGCGACATAAGGGGATTGTAATGTAGCTCGTTCTAAAAATAAGTGCAAAAAGTGTAGGACAAATGAAAAAAAGTGCGAAAATGCTCAAATCAAGAGGAAGGGATCTTCTTGGCAGCTTGTTGCTCCTTGTGACAAGGAGGTGTTCTGGTTCTTGTCCGCTCTTGGGTGAGAAAAATAAGAGCTTAAAAGGAAATTAAGCAATTCGTGAATTTACTGATGTATTGCCGCCGGAGTACCCAACTTGCTAACAATGGTGTCATAGATTGACCTCATTTGGGTGAGTCACAGAGTCCCATATCAGAAGAAAAATAATGAATTTGTGACAGACCCAACGCTGGTCTCTCATGACTGTGCTGTACCTAGTCGTTCGTACCTCGTTTTATACCATAACATGGTTGGTGGTTGTGCTGACTCCAAAATGTTCTAGATACGCTATGTTGGGATACCACATTCTGTGTATGTTAATCGAGACCAAAAAGTAGTTGCTGTACTGATGGCCCATCTCTCATTATCAGTGCTAGCATTCTGCGTATGTCTCATACTCACCGTGTTCGATGCTTCTGACCGGTGGCACACAGTAAATATGACGATTAGCTGGTTGACAGATGGAGTGAGTATTCCGCAATCATTTCATTCCTATCCAATGAATACATTCATTTGTAGAGGTGAGTGGGATTCGACCATTGGACTCGGCTCGACATAATGAGTCAATAGGTGTGAGTCGGAGCGTTTGATCCTAGCAAGAGGGCGACCGCTAATCGGGTGTTCCAGGCAACATCCCAATCTATGCAATAGATGGGACAAATGTGATCGTAACTGCCATGTTGGGAGGTGAGTTGCCCGGCTGTGATACCTCAGTGATGTTGACTCGACTGAAATATGATCCAAGTCATCATGATTGCTCGGTTGCATGCCATGTATCAGAGATCTAGGCGGATGCTTATCTTCCTTGTTATCGTCTTCCTAGCTGTCAACATCGCCTGCGCGGTAATCACGATCATAGGACTCAAGTATGATTCCGCATCGGGTAAGCTTTAGTTGTTGAATTGAAGAACACAGCTCATTGGACAAATACCAGGGGAACTCATACTCTCTGGTATTCATATATGCTATAACGAATCCGAGGCGGATACCCAGCTCCTGGTCTCAATGGTCTGGATGCTCAACACTGTTTGGGAGGTCTTCGCACTGTGTCTTTCAGTCTGGATCGCTGCGAAGCACTTCCGTGACCTGCGACGACTCGGCCCATGGACGGGATCGACCATGGGGGACTGTTTCAGAGTGCTGATGGAATCTCACGTGCTTTATTTTGCAAGGTGAGCTTGTAATGCGAATGTGCTTATCGTTTTCTGCTCAAGATGTACTAGCTTTGCCGGTGTCTCTTGCCTCCAGCTTGTTACCGTCTCTCCAGAAGTCGAGGTGCGCCAACATGTCACTGACATCTACATGTAACCACTGCTAATCATTTCTGTAGAATTCGAATTACATTAGAGCTGATATACTCAGTGGTGCTTTTAAAATTTTATTCTCCGTGCAGATGTTTGTGATGGGACCACGCCTCATCCTTAGTGTTCGACAATATCACGCTAAACTCGTGGCCGAATCCGATGCAGAAACTAGCATGAATTCGATCGTCTTCCAGGAGCGTATGCATGTACCAACTAGCAGCACTGTGTAGGAAATGGTTGTCGAGTGTTCCGCATGGAGGAGATTTTTGGTCGAGGATCCGTCGTATTTATTTCAGTTGTGGTGTCTCAAAGTATATTTTAGATGAGGTTTATGTAGACAAACCCTTTTCCTGTTGTGTCGCTACTGAAAGTCGGTAATCCAAACTTGCACCAAGTAGCAAGATGGCAAGAAGATGAAGATGAAAGCCTTGAGTACATCTGTCAAACTATCAATGAGGCATCGACCGCACTTAGTTGCACCATCGCAATGTGGCGCGCATGCGACTGCAAATCGTGCGTCGAATTTGCATTTTTGCAAGATCTGTTAGAGCCTATACTGCTAAGCACGAGTAAAGCACCGAATGAGATACATACATACATACATACATACATTATTAACACCGACCTTAGGGCCAGCAGATGATGGATGATCAAAAAGACCACGTATCACTTCGTACGATTATCTGCTAACCCGAGTACGTGAGTCCAAGCCTAGATAGCTGATAAACCAGAATATCTGCGAGCCTGCGAAATACTTTGCAATCATCTGTCCAAGGAAATATATGGCGAAACGAGAGTGGTTGTGCGAGGCCAGATGTCATGGCCTTGTTGAAAAACGTTTCTTCAGAACATGGCATTATCAGTCATCTGGACCGAACGAATGGAAAGCGGAATGGAAAATCGAAGTAGCGTGTCTGAGCACAGATAGCTGATAGCACAATGGCTCCACAGCATAATGACTCTCGCCTTCTCCTGAACTAGCGTCTGTTTAAACGAATAGATAAAATAGGAATAAGAGACGCGGGGGCGAGAATCTTGCAATGAATACTGACATTGTGCTCATGATACAGCAACCGCTGACCAGGCCCAAAGAAGCGTGATTCCGATTTTCTTCAAATCACTTTGGAGGCGCCTCTGGCGGCTAGACTTGGACGGTATAGAAAATAATGCGATAGATGATCAGTCTATCACCACGATTATTGCACCCTATACTTGCCTCTGAACACTCCAAACTAGGAACACTTCTCACCGACGAAGGGTGGGAGCGCCTCATCTACCGGGCCTGAGTTGAAAGGTAAGGACTCTGTACAGACATTGGGCTAAACTGAAATCGGCAGCAGGGGTGCATGACTGGAAGCTGAAAACCCCACATGGCCACTCTAGGACAGTAATGAACCTGTACAACGCTGGTGACATACCAGATGAACTTTTTGCACCAGACAGCAGGCGCACTGTATCTGCCAAACTTCTATGAATTCACTCCACTTGCTCCCATAGAGGAGGCATTCAGCCGCATAATATCGGAATCAAGTATACGGTTCTCAAGAACGAATTTGTAAATGACATTGGGCTGCTATCATTCCATTGTTGCTGGTACTCATATGATACATGAAGATAAGGATCATTTCTTTGTAACATCGGTGTTGGCAAGAAATGATTCTTATCTTTACGTCTAGCTTCATCTCTCGGGTCTATGTGATGCGAGTGAAGAAGTTAGGCTGTGCCTAGAGAGTTAGCTCTAGGAGGGACACGAGCGTGGAACGTGGTGGAACGAGAGAAGAAAATGGCTGTGGCTGTGTGAACTAGTAGTGCCGGTTCCTTCCGCAGGACCCTGGAATCAGGTACTGAGATATCTACCAATGATAAAGCGTATTGGTCACTCAGCGGAGTCGGGGACTTGGTGCGTGAGCACCGTACATATATTCATCATTGACGACACCAACCTTAGGGCTAGTGGATCATCGATGATCACAAAGACAATGCATCGCTTCACGTGGTTATCTGCTGGACTGGGTATGTGAGTAGTGGTGGGTCTAAGCCCAACAGCCGGCCATCTGTTATTGCATTCATGGATCGTTTTCCTGCTCGTTTCCGGCACAGCCACACCATAATCGCAAAACACTCGAGCGGTTTGAGGGCCCCCCTTTCTGGCGCTCTCTCTGGCAGTAGTGTTCGTCACACGAAAGACCCTAACGTTGGCGTTATATTGCAGCATTTTCTCGAACATGGGCGATGGCGCTTTGCCCATTGATATTGTTTTGAAACAGTTGGTTGATGTTCGTGTGCCCCCAGACTGTCACGGTGTGTGTAGCCTGTTGTCAGTATTGTATGCGCATCTTGATGACGTTTGTGATGTTGAAGTGGCGCTCCGTCTGCTCGCTCGGCCGCCCTATGTCTCTCTTCCATGTATGGATAGGGATAGCGAAATTCTGTAGTCCACTCCTAGTCTTGACGCCTTGGTCCGCCGCCCGCGTGGCCTTTCTATTGACATGTTATCAAATGTTTGCCAGCACAAGGTCGTCCTGTCGTCCATTCTTTTTCTCATACTAAGACCGCCTGGTGGTTCACATCTGGGAACGCCTTTTGTTTCTGCAGTCAGCCGGCTCTCAAATCATCAGCGGTCATTTCCCAAGTGAAGACAAGATCACGGCAGAATGAAAGGGGCCTGCTATACATGTATAATTCTGAAACCACATTCACCCTGGTGCTGTGGAGCAGGTGGCCTAAAGTCAACCTGACCCACTTACAACTCGAGCTTGTACCTTGTAAGTTGAGTGCTATTTGCTCATGACAATATACTACTACATCGTAACATTTGTGTACGTGGAAGTGAGCTACCAAGGCTAAACTGGAACAATGGAGTATATTACTGTGGATTCGTGCAAATGATTGTTGCAGAGGAGGCCTAAAAATATTCATGAAATCCTGTACTGATGAGTCGGAATAGATGGGATTAGGTTCGGAACCTCGAACAGGAGTCTAATGGCAAAGAGCCAAAGTTAGTAGGTGGTATACTGGGAAGTGTTCACGTACACCAGTCTGTTCGGGAATGGTGTAGAGCCATCTTACTCCAGAATCAAACATTACCAGGGATCCACTTGTCCATGTCACTCCAAACTTTTTGTTGTATCTTTCTCCATGCAGCTCGTTTTGACTGGATGCAATCCAAGCACCAGCCTTCCTCCCCCCACGGAATGTCGATCAATGCCTGGGCACCACACACTGGATCGAACAGAAATTTTGTGTACAGCCCAGAGTCATGGACACGTTCATCCCAAGTAGCTTGTTCATTGCCAGATCTGAACGAACATGGACAGTATGTCTCTGACGCAGATCAAGAAAAGAATACGAGTCAGAAGTTTTAAGTAACCAGGAAGTAATACAACAGTACCTCGCTGTGCGGAAGACTTCACGTTTTTGTTGTTGGAGGGAAATTTGGAGGGAAATGTAAATTTTTGCGCATAATCCTGCTGGCAAGACGACGTGCCAATTCGCACACCGATCTCTGACCAGGTGGTAACTGACAGTTCTCTCATGAGCTCCACACACTTCTGGTCTGCATGGCCAATCTGCTCGGGCCCTTGCTGACCAAGGACATCATGGCCTTCCAAATCAATCCGGCGAGTCCTGGCAAGTTCATATAAAGCACGCTTTACTACACCAACATTCACGTCACATGAGCGTGCAAGGGCAATGATTTCCACAGCGTTTTTCATCGGCTCGGGGGTTAAATCCGCCAGGGAGGATGACCACATTTGCCCAAGAACTCGAGCTGCCCAAACACGATACGTTTCGAAGCGCAAGGCAGTCGCAGCACGGAGAATAGGGGCGAGAACTGAGAATGGGGGAGGTTGAAAGTAATACTCGCTAGAGATAGTCAGACTGATTCATGCAAATATAATGATGGATATTACGTTGGGTTATCATCAAATTTCAAGAGAGCCACGAGGTCGTCCGCTGTAGTAATGTTACCGAGGTGGTACACCGTCGCTTTTCCATCATTTTCCACCCGCACACCATCATCGAGAAAATTATCTTTGAGGTCATGTTGAAGAAGCTGCGCGAAGAATGATGACTTGGTGACCAGCCTCGAACGATGAAGCTTGAACAGCACCCCATCAACCTCGATGACAGTATTGGCATCCAAGATGTAAAAATCCTCGTGTTTTTGGGGACTAGCACATTCAGATCTAGCCCGCTTGAGAGGACGTCCTTGATCAGTATCGTTGCCGATCGTTCTGGGGAACTTCCTCTTTTCCTTAACCTTGCCATAGCTCTTCGCATCGTCCTTGTCTACGCATGGGGAAGTTTTCTGAGGAACCGTTGACGCCTGTTCCACGCCAATGTTGCTTATCTGCGAGCTTAACGGTGGTGGCTTGGAGGTTGAAGGACCGGGTAGGCCTGTCTCCTGACCCAGCCGAATAGGAGATTCAGCTTCTTTGATTTTACCTGTGCTTTCATGCGAAGCTACACAAACCCGTGTCGATTCAGGTAGCTCGGTGCTATGAAGAGTGGGTGGTGGGTCGACGATATCTGCCTTAAAAAGGGATTGTACACCTCTTGAATTGAGGGGCTCGCCGAACATAGTAATGTGACCATTTTCATTGACACTGTCACTGGATTGAGAGAAGAAGGCCATGACCAGGAGCTATAGCTCTATGTGAAACTTTTTAATATTTAGTGAACAAAGATTAAATGCAACTTACGAGCAGAATTCAAAGCTAGTACTATACGCTCAGCGATGGGCAATTGTGCGTGGAGTGTACATTGATAGGCTGAGTTTAGAATGACGTCAATGATGATATTACGTCAGTTCATTCATCGCTTTTTCAAACGTTGACGCGACGCAACTGGACCATGACAGCACTAGCAAAGTACTAGTACCGTTTGAAGTAAAAATACAACAGCTTTCTCATCCTCTCAGGAACATGGCACCGCAGCTCAATGAGGTCCATGCTAGCCCATTTCCCACTGGTTCCTCCCTACACCATCCATGTCTCCCTACACCTCTTTCGTAGTTGCAGGCGCAGGCCCCACAATCGGTGGCCGTATCGTGAAGGCAAGATTCAACCATATCGATTGATACTTCCTCAGTTTTATCTGACTGTTTGACAGGCTTTGGTTGAGCAAGGCGCTTCGGTAGTTGCTCTCCTTCGACCGTCGAGTGCATCGATATCGAGCCCACTTCTCGAGGGCGCCAAGATTGCCACCGCTGACTATGCTGACGTCAAAGCAGTCGCCTCCATTTTCCGCGAGCATAAAACGCAGGTCGTCATTTCTGCATTGGCATACGGCGCGTTGTCTTCGCAGTCTACTCTCGCGGATGCTGCCAAGGAAGCCGGTGTGAAACTTTTCGTTCCCTCTGAGTTTGGTATGCCTACAGAGGGAGGGAAGGCTGCTCACACGGTCACCAAATCACAATTTGCTGGTGAGACTTTTTGGTGCCTGGTTTGTCAGTTGTTGAACGCTCGCGATATTGTAGATTATTTGAAGTCATCGGGCATTCCTTCATTGCGCATATACGTAAATGCTCGTTATCTTATATATCCGGCAGAGCTAGTAACACCTTTTGACATAGACCGGGATGTTCATGGAGTTCATTCCACAGTTCACTGGTGTTGACATTGGGAAGTTCTTGGTCCTGGGCAAGGGTGATGCATCATTTTCTACCACTGCCTTGGACGACGTTGCAGGTATTGTGATAATCCTTTTTAGTGATCATAGTAACATATGAGGCAATCTAGGTTTTACCGCTCACGTTCTTACAACACTTCCGCCGGCCAAACTCCATGATGCTTCGTTCCGCGTCGAGGGAGAACGCACATCCTTCAATAAAGTTGGCGCCCTGTATACTGCATCCAAGAACATTACAGTAGAGCATGTCACTTCCCTTCCCGAAGGATACGTCAAGCAGACTCTTTTGCAAGGCTTATTTGAGCAGGGCCGGGGCAGCTCCGGTTGGGACAACTACGCCGACAAGGACGTCCCGGAGAATGCTAACAGCGGTAATGCAGCCTGGCCTGGGCACCAGTGGAAGACTGTCAAGGAGGTGTTGGAGTTGTAGGCCTCACAGCAGCTGGAAGTTCATCTGCATTTCAAGTCGTTGTATCACGGGTTCTCTCTAGTCTAGATGGTGCTCAACCGTATCTACGTTTAGTCGTCTTTACGTTCAACCGTTCGACGTACGTCCATTCTCTACATAATAATTATCCAGTGCGCATGACTTGCGAGAAGATACGAGTATGCCTAAAGACTGTGCACTAGTTGGCTACCACACCCCCACCCTGCTGTGCGCATTGGTCACTCAAATAAGATGGTATCTGTAACTGCTGGATTTGGCCCGGCAGATCCGCAAACTGCATCAGCAGCCCTGCAGCCATGTGCCAGCCAATGTGACAGTGGAACGCCCAGAGCCCTGGGTTGTCAGTGATGAAGCGGATGGCGACCCAGCCGTAGCCGGGAAGAGTCAATGTGTCGCGTCTCGGCGGGTTGGTTGTACTGAGTTGTGACACCCCAGATGTGTAGCTGCCATCACCTTCACCGAGAATCCAAAATACGTGCCCATGAAGATGGAATCTACACAGGGTGTCAGTCAAAAGAGACTAGGACTAGTGCATAACCAATGGCACATACGGGTGGCTAGCATCATCGTAGTTATTCAGGATTAAGTCAAAGACAGTGATATTATCGTTGACGACGACAAGTTGGTTTGAGTCGAAGGTAGTCTGAATCCCGGCCTTTGACATCTGCAGCAAGGTAGGGTTTGTAGTATCAGACAGCCAACTCGTGCTGTTCATGAATGCCAATGTTTGCGTCCCGCCAGATTGAATTGTTTGCTGAAAAGACATGAAGACTTGAACAACATCCGTGCTGTTGGGTGGGTCCATGGCAATTTGGGGTACGATCATTGTGCTGTTGAGATCGAGACAAAGGGCGGGGATTGCGTCCGACCAATCCTGGGTGTTCGGTGTCGTTGGCGAGGCACCGTATGTCATCGTAGCCAGCACCATCGTGTTGAGATTGGGATTGCTGAGTTTGTAGCAAGAACTCTGCATCTCTCCACGTACATTGTACGATCCTGCCGTTTGATTTGTCGTCAGGATAACAGAGTAGCGCTGTGCGACGTGTATAGGGACGCGGTGCACGTTCACAGGTTCAATAGATATCCCATCTGCTTCAACAACGCTCAGCACGTGCGAGTCCACGCTAAACATGAACTCTGTCAGTGTGCCCATATTGATGATACGGAGCCGATAGCTCAAATTTGGTTCAAGATCAAATGAGGAACCGTTCATCTTGCCGTTGATGAGACCGCTGTCCGGAGGAGGTTCTGCTCCAGGATTGACTCCACCATAGTTAGAGCCATCAATCCCAGCGGAGCTCAAGTACTGAGTGAGCAATCCGGAAGACATCACATCATACCAATCTAAAAGAGAGCTTCCCTGAGAATACAGACAAAAACAAAATAATGATACGAACCCGAAAGTATGACAAGCGCGTCGCGGTCGTATTGGCCAAAAATAGGCTCACTGGGAGAGTGAATTACAAGCGGTCCGTAAATGCCGTCTGTGTACCTTGTTTTATTTGCGTTAGTCTCAAAAAAGAAATCGCCAATGTGCTGCATATGCTTACTGTGTAGACGCATGAGCATGATACCAGAACGTGCCGTACTGGCTCGGATTAATGGTGAAACGATAGGCTAAATAAGTTAGACTCATGGAACGTGGTCACAAGAAGCAAACGTACTGAAATTCATTCCCGGAGGAATAGGGCACTGAGTAATACCGTTGGTGCCATCCATGTAGTTGGTCCCGTTTTGAAGTTGACCATGCCAATGAATAGTGGTGCCGTTGGGTAATTGATTGAAAACGTTAACCACAAGCTCATCACCGCTGTTCACCTCAACAAGAGGGCCAGGGAATTGGTCTGAAATTCCGAAGTCAGTGGGATCATCATCATGTATGGAGTAACGCAACATACTGTTCACCACTAACATAGTTCTCTCGAAACCATTGGGTGAACCTGTTGCTTCAGATATGACGAATTCGTAGTATCTGGTTGTCGTTATATTCGTGACAACAAAATTCTGATCCAGGAGAAACGAAGAGTTTGTCGTGACGTAGCTCATATTCGACGTCTTCTTCAGTCCCAATCCGAGCCCTAAACCAAGAGCCAAAGCAAGCACGACCACAATGGTGCCAGCTATACCAGTGATTACGAATAACTTTCGACGACCTATTGAAAACTCTAGTTGAATTCAAATCAAACAGGTGTGACGCAAGTCCACGAACCACTTCGTCTGATGGGTGTGATGCGGGTCTCTTTTAAAGCCAGACCCTCATGGTCGCCCGAGCTACCCTCCTTCGAGAGCGAGAACAGGGTAGACATCGTGAAAAAAGATGTTGTCCCAGAGGCGCTAATCCGCTCTATATGGGCTTGAGACTCGTCGATGCACGTTCGTATGGATTATTGATATGAATTTGACAGGCATGAATTAGTGGTAAAGATATCCATCTGTGGGATTATGAAGGATGACCCAATTTATAACGTTCGCACGTCCATGCGCATAGTCCGACATCTGCCATGGTGGGAAGCAAGTAGGAAGATCCAATATTTGTGTCCGCTTGACCTTGGACTCCTGGAGAAAGGTGGGCGCCGCGGCAAGCTTTCTGCAAATTTGAATGCCCTCCTTACGTACAAACCCGATGATCAAACACGTGAAATTACGGCACCGACTCGGATTCACTTCAACTTTACCACTTTTCTGATACGAATGCACCCTCAATTGAAATATATGTACATCATCGACAGTGCCAGCATCAACTTATTTGCCTATCTTCGACTGGCGAGGTCACAGAGATACACCTGAGCAGGTCTGATTACATCCGCTCATGTGTCTCACTGGCACCCCTTGTGTCTTCTCAATCCTCGTCAGGTCTGCGTTTTTAGCATGCACAGTGGCCCATGCGGAACCGACGGACACTTGCTGCTACTAGTGCTCTCATGGAACACGTATCAGAGTCATCCACGTGGTCACGTCACCAGAGCACATCTTTCAAGGTCTATATCTTTCCAACGCTTTTGACGCATCGACGCGTGTGTGACTCGTCTTGGAATTGTTACAGGTGTTTTCGCGTTGAATGAAACATGGTCCGGCACTAAAACTCTGACTTCAAGCGCCCCATTTTTTGCTATTTGTTCTGGAAACAAACCACCTTCGATGACGAGAGTCGCTGTTTCCACCTAATTGCGACCTAGAAGCTGAATTATTCAACAAGGGTTTCCGGAAGTTGGTGAGTAATCATGCGTTCTGTTAGCACATCACTCCGTTGTAATGGACCTGAAATTCTAACAGAATACAAGATGCCTTACAACCGAGCTGTGTTGGGGCATGACAGTCACTCGTAGCGGATGCCGCTACAGTCTACTTGCTAGACATCTTTGGGGAGATCCGATTAGGTCGAGTTGTTGCATAAGGATCTAGTGAGTAGAAGCAGTTGTTACAGCACGAGAAGGAACTTCAACTTCGTACCAGCTGCCAGATGTATCCGAAATTATGACATGAAGGGGACATGCTGTATCCGCTAGGAGCCATGATTATGGCCTCAGATATCCTGAATTACTAAAGTTCTTACGGTATGTCCGTATTATATTCTCTCAATTAAACTGCGCTGGCCCCATTATTTCATCAGATGGTTCGAGGGCCGCGCAAGTATAAAAAGCCTCGCGAATTTGACACATCGACAGGTGGTCACCCCCCTCGATTACGATCATGCAGCTCTCATTTATTTTCACGACACTCATGTCCTTTGTCGCTATTGTTGCGGCATATCCCACACCAAACTTGGGCACGAAACGTACTTGTGAGATTCATGCGTCAACCTAGTTAGTGAGAGTGATACTGATATGCTTGACAGCTTTGGCTAGACGCGAGGGGCTTGACTTTGACCTCACTCACTATTTGAACGCCAGGACGCCTGACGACATTAGTAATCCTCCTAAGTTTAAAGGTCCTGACGATCCTGACGACCCTGACGAGCCTAATTACTTTGACTAATGAGTGGCGATGAGCAGTGTGAGGACGTTGAATCGAGAAGTGTGAGGAATGTAGAGGAAAGGTACTGTTGTTTCTTTCTACCTTTTTCTGATATGTGACTTATCACTTTTCAGCTGTACGATAAAGGTGGACCGTAGGGGGTATTACAATGTCGTCAGTCACCAACTACAGCTTTTGTTTACAGAATACTTTCTTTGCGCTTCGCTTCCTATCTAAATTCCAGACTCATCGGAACCTTCGGCCAAGCTCGGTCATATGCCACAGCTTCCATAAATCATGATAGGCGTGTAACGCTAGTGGGATGTATATATTTTGAAGCGTTGACGTAGCAGTTGTACGAATATGTTTTTACCTGTCCCCGGCGCTCGTCTCCATTCATACCATGCCAGGGAGAGGACGAACAATGAAGTTACTGTGACTTTAGTATGGAATATAGGTTTTAGTTTTGAATTCCGCATTCAAGTCCAGCTGATATGGTGGAAATGGTACTAGGATCGACTGATACGAGAATATTTGCACCATATTGTCATTTCGCATTTATGTAGTCAAAATACAGTGATGATCTAACTAGAATCTAAAGATCGTATGACATTTCCACTGGTCCATCTGCATCAGTTTTAGCATTCTTCCTCCGAGTCAGACTCTCCGAGCATGATGTCGAGACATGCTCGCAAGCGATATCCAGCATCTTCCGAGTCCCTGTCTTCCATGGGAAACCCCCGCTCAGCACCGATCTCCTTCAGATAATCAAGTTGCAAGGCTGCAATTTGATAGGCAGCGAGATCATGACTATATGCAGCAACAGTGAAGTCTGCATCGTCTTCGAGCTGCTCGAAGGTACGTCCGACCAAAGCCCTTTCGAAAAAGGTAGCCTCTATCTTGTTCTCAACATATTGATCAGCATTGTCCCTTGAAATAGCTTGAAATAGCATTGCATGTTTCTCAGTTGACTCGAGCTCCCAAGCTGCGGCTAGAGCCCATAAACGTTTGCTTTCGACATCAGCTCACTTTGCAACGATAGCAGCGGAGACAGTGGCGTCAGACATATTCTTTATGCCTCTTTTGAAGATGTCTTTGCCCTGATACAATGCCGCTTGTCAATATGACATGACCTGCGGTATAGATAAGGCTAATACCTGTCGGACATCTACAAGACTAAGATCAGCCTCACCAGTGCGCTTCAAAAGGTTCTTCATCATAAAACGGTGTTCTAGAGCAGTGAGAACCTGCCCTCCTGGCTGAGCATGTTTTGCATAACAAGACATATAATGTGTTACCGGGGGGAGGCCCCTTGGAAGGGATTGAGTTGCATGTGGTAGGGCACCAATGGGAGATTCTTCGAATGATTGCTGATTAGAGTTTACACCTCCCATTATCTGATCATGATCATTGTCACAGCAAGGGCGATCAGAGACATGAGAAGCTTCGTCCTGCACAGATTGCTTGGCGAAGATATCAACAGGTGACCCCAACTCCATCTCACAATGAGCAGGATTAGGGAGTCCAGTGGGAGATGTAGAAACAACAGGGGAGGAGGACATGTTGGTATGCTCGTATCATTAGTGCAGGAGTTGGAGTTTTAACAACTGCAGCCCGACTTGCACTTGTATTCTCAAAGGTCATCTAACTTAGTTCTACTTAGGTTGGCGTGCTAAGTTGTAGATTTGTCTTTCCTCGACAATTGTAACGGTGCTCACGCACTAAGCCCCAAACTCCTCTTTCGTACAGTTATTCATTCTACTTATTCGTGTCATATACTACTGACTCGGATGGCTCACTTATATTCTTACTCGTTAGAACAGTTCGAACGGAAACCCTTCAAAGGTGAAGGCAACCGAAATGTAGTACATACTCTCCCTACATTGCGTCATCCATACTGAATGATCTGATCACGAGCCGCCCATGTTGGTCTATATAACCGCGAGCCTGCAAGAGATCAGCCGGTGGGTGCAGCGCACTCGTTATCAATCCGCTATACCCACCTCGACCAATTGCGGGTCAATGAGGTTAGAAGAGGGCCCCTTCATTTGACAGAGACCATGCATGGATGGGTGACCTTGTCCCTGGCGAAATCACCAGCGGGGCGGTCTCCAAATTCTGTTTGTTGTTACATACCCATCAGTCGCCGTTTGATCCTGCAGAGATCGTCGTGATTCGCCACCTCACGTGATTGACGAAGGTGCTCTCCGACAGCGCGTCCGAGTAAAATCTCTACTTGCCATCCGTCTGGGCATCGAGGGTGTCAAAGCTATTTTTATGGACCATATTTCGTTACTGGGTCGAAAGACAGCGAAAACCCATGGGCAATCCTCAAGCCAGAGATCTTTTCAATACTTATGGAGCATTTTTCTGTCAGTTTGCCACTTTTCCGGTCGGAAGAAGACAAACAAGCTGCCGGCCCTCAGGACACTCGGATTCTTGACACAGACTCTGAGTCGGTATCAAAGAGCTGCTCGAAACTCGTGTCCGTCTAGCGATTATGGAGGACGGTGGTGATGTATAATACCGAGGGTTTAGTGACGAAGGCTTTGTGAAAGTTAAACCCACTCATCAAGGACACAGATACAGCAGTTGTGAAATATGAACACTGCAATCAGCTCGGTAAACAAAGACTGCGAAATCGTCTAGCATCGTACGAAGGGCTAGATGTCGCGAAGGTATAAGGCAGATTAGTGAGAGACGTTACGCAGGACCGCTTACTAGTGAAGGTCGAACCGAGTTTGGGTGAAAAGCCTGAATAAGAGTCAGGGTCATAAATGGGGCTTGGGCGCTTCAGCTGCACAGCCTATAATACTAGCTGTGAAATAATCACAGGGATGTCACATGTGAATGTACCAGCTGACTTGACCCAAACTCCCATCGTGGTGTCAAAATATATCATAGTAAGTGATGACTTTGGACTTGTGTAGAATGAAGGCTGAAATAGCGATGTGGTACTCGGTAGTTGATACTGAAGATCATGTCTTCATCCATCATTGGGATACAGGAGGCATCGAATATAACGCCCAGCCAGAAATTCGAAGGACACACGGGTTGGGTGACTGGGGCCATACATCTACCAGACGGACAGCGGATGCTGACTTGTTCAAGCGACGGCTCGCTGCGGGCGTGGAACTTGAAGAGTGGGAAACAGATAGGAGACGACTGGCGGGACGGAGATAGTGAAGTGCGAACGATAGCGTTGTCTCCGGATGGGATGAGAGTGGTTAGCGGCGGGAGTGTAGATGGCGCAGTGAAGTTGTGGGATATCGACACAGGTAAAGCCATCGCGAAATGGATGGGACATACAAAGGCGGTGTGGTCTGTGTGCTGGAGTCAAGATGGTCGGAGAATGGTGAGCGGATCCTATGATGGGACTGCAAGGCAGTGGGACGTGGAGAACGGAGAGACGATCCTCGGTCCAATCGAGACTGGGCACGAACACGTAGAGGCAGTTGTCTACTCACCGGACATGAGCATGTTCGCGACTGGTGGAGGCACTTTCTCGGTTTCTGATACCGAGCACCCAGTGAAAATCTGGGATGCAAAGACAAGCTTGCTTGTCGCAACTCTCAACGGACATACAGATTGGGTGTTTTGCCTGGCTTGGTCTCTGGATGGAAAAACGCTTATTTCCGGGTCAGTCGATTCCTCGATTAGGACATGGAATACAACAATCTGGACGCAACTCGCTGTGCTCAATGGGCACAGCAACGCTGTCTATGGCATTGCAATATCTCCAAATGGCCGCATCCTCGCAAGCGCGTCATACGATAACACAGCGCGATTGTGGAATATCGACAACGGCCAGCCCATCAGTTCGCCCCTCCACCATGCGAATTTCGTGAACCGTGTATCCTTTTCAGCAGATGAAAAGCTACTAGCCACTGGCTGCGATAACCATAACGCGTATACATGGGATATTTCTGCAATAGTAAGAGATGTTGGCCTCAACGACCTTCCTTTTGACCAGCACGACGAGTTGGTGCTCTCTGTACGTGATACTTTCGCAAATTGTTCTCATTGCACCCAAGCTCATGTATTCTAGGCTGAAGCTACACAACGTCCTGTGACTCCTGTCTGTCAAATAATTGACAAAATCTCAATTGGAGTACCCCAAGGTTTCACGCAGAAATCCAGCGGCGCAGCTCAAACCATGTCGTCTTCGCAACCCCATACTGCCGTCTCTACCTCCACCGTACCTCCCGTCGTCGCTAGTACAACTTCGAACATTAATCCTCATGCAATGATAAAAAGCGTCGGGTGTTGGACTCGTTTCTGGCACTCTATCTGTTGCACCTCCCCCGAGTATACCGACGGCCATCATTAATCTTTACCACGATCTTTCACGGATCCCATATGTTATCTTATTCCTAGTACATATACAATGGAGGTATACCGTTATTTATCGTATGCTTGATGTAATTATCGGGACCTCACGTGGAGCCCCGCACATAGGATTGCTTCTACGAAACGTTTCGTCTGTTCATATAGTAGGTGGTGGAGTCACGCGATAATATAAATCACCACTACATCGCAACTTCATCGACATCATAAGATGACATCGTAATGGAGACAAAGAGGGTCTGCTCGGTAATTGTACTTCAACTTGTGGAGTTCATGAATTTTTCAGGGATAGGCCAGTCTCGAGTTTCATTGTCCAATTACAGTGCACTTTCCAGACTCGCCGCCATGAACAATTATGATAGAGAGAGAAAATGTCCTTTCTGCCTGTCACAAACCATAAAAAAACCGTAAACTGCTGAGCAATGTCCATATCGGCAACGCCGACCCCTAGTGCAAATATAGTATACAAAAGTCTGCTTTGTAGTTGTAGTGAAATGACAAGACGATAGCAATAACAAGCAACGACCGAAGGTCACCGCTTGTAACAACATCCACGAGTGGTAGGTGACATCGTAAATGAATGTATCATCAAGGTGGTATGATTGAATCCACTAGACCGGCATCCCGCTTCGTGACCAGGCACGACTCACATTACTGGCGCCTTCGCGCTCACATCTGAGGCCTACTCAATGGATACTCGTCTTGATACGAATCCGCAGACTTGTAATCTTCATTGAGGGGAAGCACAAAGCCCGCAACAGCATAGATGATCACAACGGCATACTCCATGAGCATGTCCATTGCGAGGTAGATTTCCCACTGGCATTCGTCCGAAGTGATGTCAAATTGTTCCTGGTTTGCCCAAGATGCTGTGGATAGGACGCTGTAGAGCGTCCGAACGGCCAGGAATGGAAGTGTGATAGAGACAGCCTTCAAGAGCTGAAGATAAGGTGTAAGAAAATGAGTCGGATAGATGAAAGTGTTCCAAAAAGCTCACCCGCTTGTGATATCTCATAACAAAGCGAATCTGGGTCCATATGTAGAGGCAGATGCCGACAAGGATAATGTATAGGATGCAAAAGAGGATGACACCGGCCATGCACATCCTATACAAGTTTAAGTTAGAAATTGACACGCTGGAGATACCGATGATGGTAAGGACGAAAGCAGCCATGCCGAGGAGTTGAAGAAGGCGGAACTGTCTGTTATAGTATCTTGAAAAGCCATCAGGAGTTTGCAAGCTATGATGATGTTTAGCACATTCCGTCTAAAATGGCAATTGAATGAGCGTACATCGAGTGCAACAGACCCAGTGTGCAAAGCAACAGTGGGGATAGGCCAGATGATTGTAGGGCGTAGCTGCCAGATTGAAGTTTATCGCTACTAGTATTTGTTACGTACGCAGCTGTGAAACACAAAACACCACCCAATACTCGGACTGAAGGTATAGTAACAGGGTTAAAACTAACTTCAAAAATTCAAATAACTTACTGATGCTGAATACCAACAATAAGACCCACCCATCACCTCGTGATATGCTGTACTTGGCCACCAACTTGAAGGAAACTAACACTAAGGGAAAATATGTTACGACTGTCACTATTGCAAGGATCCAAGATTGGGTCATATTTCCTGGAAAAGTGGTGTCGAGGAAAGAGGAAGAATAAAAATATGGGAGATGATGGGACGGTTGCCAGACTTATCTGCCTTTTGTATGAAACCATGGAGGAGTACAAGGGGCAGTGACCCTGCCGTGTGCTGCCTCGTGTTCATCTCCAGAAAGGTAAACCTTCTGTTACGAATCAGACAGAAAGCTAGCAGCTGCAAGAAGCTGTGATATCCACATAGGTACTAATGCCGTCAACTGTTCTGATCTTTGAACTGTGAATGCTGTGACTCGGAAGTGTTCAGACTTTTTTCTAGAAGCAATCAAGACTCCCTTCTCGACAGAGGCTGTGTTGTACATATATTCGAGATCTAGTCGATGGGGAGGAATTCCGGGCGCAGTAAGCATCACCAAGTAGTCTCAGGTGCGTCGATAGGCAGTGCGTGGTTTGCTTCTTTAGATCTAGAATGTATAGTAATTACTAATCTTGCACGTTTTTCCCGCGGATAATCATTCTATATTTGAGTTACGGTAGTCATCAGGTAGTGTCCACAATTCATTGACAAATAGGTTTCGTGGCGAGAAAAACACGCTGGAGTAGACTGCGAGATCATCTAGCGTCGTACGAAGGGCAAAATTTCTCGAAGGCACACGGCAAATTCATGAGAGACATTGTGCAGGACTGTTCAGTGAAGGTGAAACCGAGTTCAAGTGAAAAGCCTGGGGTCAAACCAAAGTTTTGAAGTATTGGAATTGACAGTTGTAACGTGTAAGGCTTTGTTGATGATGTCAGCGCATCAGAGTATGCCGATGCAGGTATCATCTGCATCGCTGATATGTTTCATGATCACGGTAAGTTCTTGTTACCCTGCACCACTGGTCGGTCAGTAGTCCGATTAGCACTATAGGTGATAGGAAGCACATTCGGGCAGTTCTAATGAGGGAGACTATCCATCGATGAAGGTTGGATTATGATCATCAGTTGGCATGTAATGTTGCCAAATATGGGACAGAGTCGCATGACTGGCGCGAGAATGCAGATACCTAAGGCGCATAAGTATCAAGATCATGACTGAATGGCATAAGGGTCATTGAAAGGCCGGAGACATCAACGATAAAGTCCAGCCAGAAATTTGAAGGACACGCCAAATGGGTCGAAGGCGCCATACATTTGCAAGTCGGATGATTTGTTCAATAGATGGCTCGCTCCAGGTATGAAACTTGAAGAGTGGGAAACAGATTGGAGACGACTGGCGGGACGGAGACAGCGGAGTATTGATTTATTTCCCAACGGTGAGAAAGTGGTTAGCCCTTAGCGGGAATTTCTGGGGATGGTGGAGTGAGGTTGTGGGACATCGACGCAGGTAAAGTCATTGCAAAATGGATGGGACATACAAAAGCGGTGTGGTCAGTGTGCTGGAGTCGAGATGGTCAGCAAGTGGTGAGTGGATCTGGGGAGGGAGTGGGACGTGGAGAACGGAGAGAGAATCCTCAGTCCAATCGAGACTGCCGCAGCGTGCTCGCAGTCGTCTACTCGCCAGACACGACCATGTTCACGGTAACTTTTTATCGCAATCGATTCCTGATACCGAGTTCACAGTCAAAATCTGGGATGCGAAGACAGGCGAGCTTGAGGCTGGCTTGGACCCCAAGTTGGATCTCGGGGTCAGCCGATTCTTCGGACATGGAAATACAGTTACTACTTAAGCTTTAAGCTTCAAACTAGAAGTGCTTGAATCAATCTACGCTGAGGTGGGAGGTCTCAAGTTTAGGGCAAGCGGAGTCCCCCAGCTTCATGCACGGGGGACTCGGTCACGTTTTATTGCAGTCAAGAGTCGCGGAATACAAGAGATAGTAGAGAAACTCGCAGAAGAATGAAATAAGACTAAGTAGTCAATTTTTGAGGCTCGAGACGAAGCAGATTTGGGAAAGATGAGGAAAGATGAGCCTTGGTAGAGACGATACGAGCTGAGAAGCTCGGTAAGATGCTAAAGGGCTAGAGTTGTTTTTTTTTTTTCTCAAAATAGTCGAGGGACTATGCGAGTGCCATCGCGTGCGAGATAGAATAGACTGCGAGAAATGATAGAGTGCGAGATGTGTGACGTAGAGACCTGTGAAGGAGACGATTGTTTATGGCGCTCGTGCTGTGCCGTGCATGAGTGCATGCAAAACGAAGGGGTGCTGATGAATATACTTATTAAATTCATCCGATGACCACCTTCCTGCAGCTCGGATCAGATCCAGAGCCATACCTGCTGCCGCTAGAGCCGTGGCACCGCCTGCCCTCATGGAGTGCCCAGAGAACTCATTCCCACCGAAATGATGCAGACGTCGAAGGAACCACGATCGCGTAGGCACGATGCCAGCACTAGTTACCCATAGAGCAGGATGATGCAGGAATGAGGTGTCGTGTGCTGCTAAGTACTGCAGCACATGCAATCCATTGTCCGATTCAAGTGAGGTCGTCCAGTCCCAATGGTAACTTTTGATGAATGGGCTTGGATAGGCGACACTTACAACCTTGTAGTGTTCGTGATACCAGTGGGGACCGCCGTGCGTTGCGGACATCGGGATACAACAACTCGAGGTGATTAGCGATGCCAGACAGATAATTGTCGACAGAACGAGGTTCTATGTGGTGAGCGAGCCACACCACGTAATATGACAAGGTGTCTTGAGTGGGTTCAATGGGACGATGATGGAGTTGACAGAATGTGATATATGAGTTTAGGTGAGAATCATATGCTGACGAGGTCGAAGATTCGATAGCGAAGCCGAGTGCGATTGCGCGTTCTCGAAAGAGACACTCATCTGTCCAGGCTACCCGATGGGGCTGCCTGGACATAGATGTCAGTGGGATCATTTTTTGACTACCCCCAGTGCATTCCGAGGGGGCTTGAAGTCAAAGATCTGCACGTTCGGCGCAGATCGAAGCACACACTCGTTCTGAAAACGAGACAGTGCATCAGCGATAATGTTTGTGCGTCCACTAACATGTTCGACGCGCAAGTCCACATCATGCTCCATGAGCACATCCATAGCTGAAATCAAGATGGAGTTGTACTGGGGCTCCGCACGTAACGTGTTGAACATAGCAACGACATTTGTATTGTCGGTGTAGACAAGCATACGAGGAGGCACCTCTGGCATGTTCTGTATGGCGTGTATCGCCGAACAGACTGCCAAGGCCTCCATGAAGTATATCGTGTCAGTCGAGGTGAAATCCGGCAGAGGGGACTGACATGCGAAGTCTTCATCTGGGAACCAAAGACCAAGTCCAATCCCAGAAGTGTCGGTATATGCTACGACGACATCGTGTGACGAAGGACTGAAGTCCAGGGATTTGTAGAAGAGTAGACCCTGGGAGGAGTGCATATGGTCGGCCATCCAAAGAAGTTCACGAATAATGCTGGTATTAACGTGCAAGTGTCCAAAAGCTTCTGTCTTCCCCCAAATTTTGGCATACACGGCTGATAAGCCCGGTTTGAGACGCGGGAACACGTTGAAGCTCCACTCGCACCACCCAGCAAGCTGCTGATATTCACGCAGCGACCAACAATAGCCCTTTCCAGCGAAGAGACGCAACTGAGAGACAAGTGCAGCCTTCTTTTCCTCTGGCAGAGTTGCCGACATTGCGTTTGGGTCGATGTTGAAACCAATGATGGTCAGAGGAGATCCAAATAACTGCTTTGGGCGTTCGTGCGGTAAACCAATCTTGTCCCACATCTGCAGCAATTGAGTTTGCTTGGCAGGAAAGAAACACTGGTAAGGTGCATAGTAGAGTCACCTAGATGCTAACTCAAAGGAAAAGGAATCATCCATGTAAGTTTTGAGTGCATCAATCAGGGTCCAATGAATCGTGATCCAAGCGACTAGTGACATGAAAGAAATCCATACTTTGGGTGAGCCTCTACCTCCGAAGTTGTTATTACGATCAATGTAATGTTCTCCCCTCACGGTCAGAATCTGTTTGACTTGCCAGAGCGGATGCATAGGTAGTCTTCGGAACGCTTGTGAAACGTCGGACTTGAACATGACCAGCTCATCATCTGGGTGCAGCTCGCAATACTGAAGAAGGGAGGCGCCGAGCAAATGTAAGCCGTCGAGCTTGGTACCTTTGATGGATTCAGATTCAATCATAGAGTTAAGAGAAAAGTCGCCAGCAGTGTGGTCAACGACAAGACGCAGTTTGTCGGAGTTTGGTTTCGGGACTGTGTGCATAGGGACGCTGTACATCCCCGGTAAGAGATCCATTCTGAAGCTCTCGGACACACGTCCTTGATGGATCTCCTCTTGCAGTTGAGTCTCAATGAAAGCTAACTGGTCGTCGCTCTTGTGGCAAGTATGCATTGAGTTATCATTGATGGAAGGGTAAGAGTTGTCCGGCACGTCTGCCCAAGGCCAAAACCCTTGACATAGGGCACGACAGACTGAAACCATGAATGGTTGATTTGGATGATCGGCTAGGAAGGATTGGAACTTGTCCACGTTAATAGGACATACTATTTTGAATAACTCTGGCCTGTGTGAAACAGTCCGAGCAGCGTCACTGTCAGCAAGTTCTTTGGGAGCGTCTGGGACTGGATCAACGTATTCCATAGAACACGCTGTTGGACTGAAACTGGCGTCCAGCGGCGACCAAATCAATCCCCGACGGTGACGTGGTCATTTCAGGATGTCCCCACGCTCATTTGGCTCTTGAGTCCTTGACGTGTTTGCGTCTGCAAACATGTCCGTCCTGTTCGAATGAACAAATGTGCGCATATCTGCAAGAGGCGGCACTGCGTGTGCATTCTCCAGCATTCCACTTTCGACAGGGATCGTGCTTTCCAGTCGATCCTGATGAGCCTCCAGTACCGAGCTTCGAGTCTGACACATCATTGCATTGTCTTCCATCTGAGTTGAAGTGCGAGAAGATAAGGTCTTCAAATTCTCGAAAGTCCATGAGTTCGAGTCTGCACGAAGAGCCAACTCTATTCCTGACGGCTTTGTCAAAGCAAATGACTCGTCCATGGGCTGAGGTGTTTGCCTGTGAGAAATATTTTGAGATGAAGGCAAAGTATCCATTGAGCTCAGCCTCTCGATGAGGGAAAGCGAATTTGACGGCATCAGCTGTTTTATTCCATGCTGCGTACCAGTCCGAGTCTGTGGCAATTTTCCTGGATGCTGTCTCCGAGACGCCATATTTGATTTCAACTCCCCCGATAACCTCGGTTTGCTTGTCAACCGCTCAAGAAGAGGTAATGATGGTGTGGACAACGTCGAGGTTGACGCATTCTCCTCCGACGATTTCCGTCCAGCTGCTTTTATGGAATTCGGGAGTGTATTTGTGATACATGAGGTATCGTCGAACTTCCTTCTGGTCTTGTGACCAATTCTTGAGGATCTCATTGGTACGCTTGAGACTGGGTGAGAGCAGTTGGTACTTCCTACTTTTGACAGCAAGTTCAACGGATGAATAGTCGAGCTTGGATCGTTTGCGAGCAGGTTCTCCTGGCTCGTTTGATCCGGCTCTGCTCCTATTCTTTGGTATAGGGGCTTCTTCGTCGTCTTGTGCTGATTGGACCGAGCACTCTCTGACATTCCTATTGTGACCTCCGGTTCAGGTGAGCTCTGCTTCAACTTCATTAAGCATGTCGACGTAGGGTCCCGTGACGGATGAGACATGCAGTTCCGGTGTAGTAAATAACTCAGCTGATATGGTTTCAATGAGAGCAATGTTTGCCTCAATTTTTGAGGATCTAGAACGTCGGAAGTCGTTGACAATGGTGAGGCATGCCGTTGCCAAGACTTGTTGGGGTGTAACCTGCACATTAGAGTTGGTCTGGGATGTATCCCCTGCAGCAGATGATTCAGCAAATGTAGGTGTTCTTGAAGACTGGGTTTGTGACGTTGAGCCAGCATTTTGAGAGGACATGAATGAAGCGATCAAATTGAAGATTTAAATATCTAGCTTATAAGTTAGGCTGATAGTAATGGCAGGACCGAGCGATGACGGGATATCCCAGACTCATTAGAGAGCATATATATACCCAGCAGAGGGGCTTTGGATGTGTAAGCCGCTGGGGCTGAGTCACGAGGTTGGGTATGACCGGTGTCGCTAATTGATTCAACTAGGTCAAACAAGTTAAACCCCAATGAATTACATGATGTGGAGCGCTATGCTGTCTTTAAATGGCATATTGCAACACCTCCAATCGCCGAAACGGCCAGCCCATAAGTTCGCCAAATCGCCCCTCCAACATGCATGCATTGTTTTGTGGACCTGGTTTGTGTCCTTTTCAACAGGTGGAAAGATACTGGACACTGGCTGCAATGACACTAGTAGTGCCACAGCTCAGCTATGGTTTGCTCTGGTTCGGTATTTATGGCTATGCCAGAAGTTCGGCAACCCCCATGAGCCAAACCATTGATTCATCACTTGGTTCGACTCATTAGCTGTGTGAATCAGTTGCAACTTTCATAAGCCAAAAATCTATGAACTGCGGTTTGAACTGCTTTAAGCCAGCTTAAGCCAGTTCAAGCTGACATACAAACATGGCAGTTGGGTGCTTTTCTTGTCGTGTCTCATTGTCTCAGACTCTCAGTGTTGTTATATTTTTCTACTATTGTATACACCATGGATAAGGTCCCTGTTCGAGTTGATGGAAGGTTTAGGTTAGGAGACATTTTGGGATCTGGTTCATATGGTATGTTATCCACATAGTAAGTACTGGCTACATATTGATTCTGATTCAACATTTGGACCCTATTTAGCTGTCGTGTATCATGCATGGAACATCATCAAGGATGTTGCAGTTGCTGTTAAACTGGAACCCATCGCCCACTCATCTTCTGTGCAGCGCGAATACAATATTCTGAAACACCTTGAAGGCGGTGTTGGTATTCCCCGTGTCATTTGGTTCGGTAGGGAATCAATGTATCATGCTCTTGTTCTCGACCTCCTTGGGCCATCACTTCACAATCTCTTCCTCACCCATAACCGAAAATTCAGCCTTGACATGGTTGTAAATATAGGAGACCAGTTAGTCAGTCGGTGTGTAGGCTGTTGCATTTGCATATCGCTAATCCTTTTCCCAGCTTTCACGTCTCGAATATATCCACTCACATAATTATGTTCATGGTGATATTAAACCACAGAATGTTGTTGTGGGGCTTGGCGATTTGAAAGACACTGCCTTTATTATAGATTTTGGTATTGCGAAGGAATTCTGGAACACAGTGACCAGTCTCCATATACCATTTCGCCAAGGCCAACATCTCACTGGCACTCCGGCATTTGCTTCTATCAATACACACTTAGGAGTTGAACCGGGTTGTCGTGACGATCTCGAGTCGCTTACTTACATGTTGATATACTTCTTGCAGGGCTCCCTTCCATGGTTAACCAGCGATGAAGAAAAACTTTCCAGCTCTTCCATACTCGAGCGCAAAGTAGACACAACCATTGAAAATTTGTGCTGTGGCATTCCTGTCGAATTCGCAACAATTCTCATCTATACACGCTCTCTCGCATTTTCAGAAGGTCCTGATTATAATCACCTTCATTCATTGCTTCGTGTCCTTCGTTCTGCACCAACTGCGTGCATGCTGGGTTTAAACCAGCCTGATGTACCTGTTATCACTCCATCTTCCAGTGAATCCTGGGTAATCAAGGCAGCATCTCCATGCCCGCTGCCTTGCAGATCAACTCGCATGTGAGTAGTGCGCTTATGTTCCCACTTTATGAACTAACATAATTGCAAGTTTACGCCCGCGTAATGGCCTCCCATTGCATGTAACTACTTCCACTCCACGCTGTAAAAAGACTGGTCACTAGATCGTGACACTGTTGAATACCTGTACACTAGTGTACACTGCAGCATTATTTATTATTTGTACATGGTATGTGACGTAATAATAGCGCAGCACTTTCCATTAATATTAAGTTTTCTCCAATTCCCATGCAACACTTTTCACAACTCATGACTCATGAGGGCACCCATGGCGACTTTCTCAACCATCAGAATCTCCAGTTTACAACATAATAATGACTCAACGAATACTTATTGACGACCTGACTTTCAATCATACTTGAAGTTGAAAGGGTTGTGCCAACATGCTGCTCTCATTTCGCTTGTGGTTTGGGAGTCAGGAATCAATCAATCGGTTACTCAGTGCCGAGCCTTGTGTGAAGCATTCATGAGTTGTGAGTTGTGAGTTGTGAGTTGTGAGTTGTGAGTCTCATGCTAATTGTTCTTGGGGCTTTTCCATCAGGGACTTAGGATCACTACAGCATCAGCATGTTCTGGGGTTTCCCCAGATGAAGATATATTAGATCATCTTCACTGCCAGTACCACCAATATGCCTCCTCAATGCAAGAACAATTCTCGGGTTGCTGCCAGAGCCATTGGTGCTACTCCCATTGCTACACCTGTTTCTCCTATCCCTGTCGCTGCTCCTGTTGCACCTGTTCCTGTTGCTCCCACTTCCGCTGTTGCTCCCGTCGCTGCTGCAGTGAATGCAACTATCCTTCGTAATCCTCGAAGGCACCATCAGCTTCCTCTCAGATTTAGGCAGGACGATGGAGATAAAGGGGAATTCTTCAACCTTGAGAATGTCTCTGGGGATGAAGAAGATGAAGTGGTCGTCTCACCTGCACCCACAGTTAGACCTGCTGCAAGCCATAGCCCACTGCAGACCACTATGAATACGGTGAAGGTTCAACGATACAGCGAGGCACGAACAATGCTCCTGACTGTATCTATAATTGTTGTAAGGTCGCGCGTTGCCTAGTCTGCTATACTTGAGACGACAAGTGCGTTCGACCCTAAAGGGGAAGCGAGTGCAGCAAGGATCTAGAGGTATGCGCTGAAAGCGCTACTGGTTGGCCAATGCGAAGCGCGGGAAAGCGCAGGTGCGCGCGAGGCGCGGGAATGCGCGCGCGTGTATGCGGAATCAAGAGAGAGTAAGAGTGAGTTTGCTTAGGTGATGATATGATGTAAGACAAGAGAAGGGAGATGCGAGGTGTAAACAAATAGATTTCTACTATGTTCTGCTAGGTAAATAGTGGGTAGTAACCAGTAAGTCCTCTGTCGTTCTGGTGGGAGAGTAAGTGTCTTTGTAAGTATGTACTGCTGGCGCTTAAGTATGGCGCCTAAGCGCTGTCATGCGGAGCCGAAGCGCTACCGAGTAAGGTATGTAAAGATATATGTAAGTAAGGGTTCATGATAAAAATAAGGATGGAACGATAAGCAAATGTGAGAAATGGAAATATACGCACTAGGGAACTTGGTGGACAGTGGATGGATGCTTCCGGATGGCTGGCGCTATAGGGCGCTCAAGCGCGGGAAAGGTACGCGCGCATGGCGCGCGTTGCGCGGGAAAGCTGCGCCTCATATAGAGATAGCTGCGGGTAGCACACAGAGTGATGCTACAAGTTCGTGCCATGTACTCCCCAGTGAAAACTGCCATATTGCACAATGAGAGGCATGAGTCTCTACAACGGCCATGACTACTGCTATAACCGACCCTCTGGCCACTGGTGGCCGAGTAAAACCGCCTAAATCCTCTGCCAATATTCACTTCTTCTTCAGACAGGACCCTACCACTCATTGCAATATCTGCAAAGCCTGCGAGTGAGTATCTTGTCTGAAGTCTATCTTTTTTTCTGACATCCTTCGCCAGAAAAATTCACAATCTTGATGATACTTACCATATTGCATCATACATTTCTAGTACAAGCACGTCAACTCGTCGTGCACATGCCTTCACTGAGCATACCGACATTTACTTGGAGGAGGCAGAGCGCCAGCACTGGCATGTCCTCCACAAATCATCGCGATTGAAGACTTTTCTGGATGAAGGCTGGATGATCGCAACCATGCGTCAAAGGCTGAAGGATCCGGCTTACACACTAGACTCACTCGGTACTCCCCCCAGTCCTGGCTCACACCCTGGAACCAGCATGTCAGCTCCAGACAATGTATTGCCTGCGTTCACTTTGGACGAGATGCACAAACACATTGTGAAATTCATTATTGCTGACGATCAGGTGAGTTGATTCGCACTTTCTATGTGCTATGGTTGATAATTGTCTTCAGGCAATCAATATTATTGAATGCCCGGAATTTCGCCGCCTGATCCATCTTCTGCGACCATCGGTCAATGAGACTGATATATTCCATCGTACTAAAGCTCATGAATTGATCATTGATGCGTTCCATGAGTACTTCAATGCTTCGAAGAGGGATCTTGCGGTAGGTCTACAGTTGTCCAGAGCCCTACAAATGCCTTATGTTTTCAGGCCGCCCAGGGAAAAGTCTCATTCACATCTGACCTCTGGTCAGATTCAAACTTTCGCCCATTCATGGCCCTTACCGCCCACTGGATTGCTAGGGCAGACCGGAGTTCAACACTCATTTTGAGGGCAGCACTAATAGGCTTCCACCATGTTCCAGGAAGTCATACAGGTGAATTGTTAGCATCAGTAATATTGCATCTCCTTGATCGCACTGGTGTGACCGAAAAGGTCAGCATTTAACTGTACCATGTAACATGCTCTAACTTTGTTTAGACTGGTCATTTCACCTTGGACAACGCTGCAAACAATCAGGTTGCTATGCGAGAACTTTCGCAGAAACTGGAGTCTTGTGAGATCGATTTCCACCCCATCGACCGCAGAATACCATGTTTTCCTCACATCATCAATATATGTGTGAAACACATTATCGATGATTATCACAAAGCTGACTTTTCCCTCATGGACGAACATTGGCTAATCGGTAATCGCACTGTGATCAAGGTGGAGTATGTCAAAGCTGTGACAGGGAAAGCTCTCAACAGAGCTAGGGATGCTGTGCGCACACTTTGTGCATCGAACCAGTGACGCAACTCCTTCAGGGACACTATTATCACTGGTAATGAGAAGGAGTGGTTTCAAGACGACACAGGTGAGAAAATGCAGCTCCCCATTGTTGAACTCCTGCTTGATGAGGCAACCCGTTGGGATTCGGTCTACATAATGCTCAATCGTTTATGAACCCTTCGCCAGGTAAGGCATTACTTACTAAACATCTGCCATAAACTGATAGTTGCCCAGGCAATAGATTTATTCTTTGACTCTTCCACTCAACGCCCCATCAACAAGTTTAAATTGAGTCCGATGGAGTGGCAGTTTCTACAGGATGTTGAAGTAATCCTGGAAGTAAGTTTTATCATATTCGAAACTCATCTTTCATTTCATCATTTTGTATTAGGCGCCCCATGCTGCCCAACAATGCATGTCAAGTGAACACACACCCAGCCTGAGTGGTGCATATCCAGCATTCGAAACATTGATCGAGTGGTGGAAGTTTTTGGTGAAACACGTCCCACACTGCGAGCCTCTCGTTCGGATAGGTTTGACTTGGGCAGATAAGTACGACAAGAAGATGGGTGCTACAAAAGCCTATGCAGTCAGCATGCATGAGTATGGTATCTTTTAGCAATGTTTGGTTGCTCATGATTGCATTTATAGTTGTTGATCCTGCACTCCAAATGTCATGGGCTCGGAGTTGTTGGGAGGAACAGACTGTCAAAGATGTGGAGAAACATATAATTGATCTGGTACATTTATCAAACACATAACAATGCAAATTTGAACTGATATTATCACACGTAGATGCGTGAAAAGCGAACTACAGATGGCTCAGCATCTGCAGAGCCTCTAGCTAATGGAGCAATGCCTCATCAACCACCGCGCATGCTAGGCTCGCGCCTTTATGGACTTCCTGATGTTGACATCTTGCCACATCACAATGGCGATGCCCAAACGGTCGAGCAAGAGTTCGAGGCCTACACTACGGCTAATCTTAGCCCCAAGGGAACAAATATACTCGCATTCTGGGTGGTGAGCGTCCCACATCCCTACAAGTTGAATCTTCATCATTGACCATGTTGACCAGGTCTCGCAGACCTTATTTCCGACAATTTATGGTATTGCAATGGACTATCTCCCAATACAGGCCTCTGCCGTTCTGTGTGAGCGGGTATTTTCGTCCAGTGGTGAAACCGACACCAAGAAACGTAATTGCATGAGCCCGGTCTTGATGGAGGCCCTGCAGGTGGTAAAGTTCCTCCTGAAAAAAGAGCGACTTGACTTTATGAAAGGTTGGGCAGCATCTGTTACAGGGATCTGTAACACCTACTAGAGCCCCAGCTCTCCCTATGCCTGCCCCCGCTCTGCTAGACTCCCCGCGCGGCGGTGCGCCGCCTGCGCCTAGAAAGACAGCGGTCTGGACCACTATGACCCTGCCCCCTGGCGCTATGACCCCGCCCCTGGCCTAGACGGCCTTGTACCTGTTCCATGAAGGCTGTACGCCTCATGGACACCCTAGATCAGCGCATGTATACAGCATGTCGCTTCATGAAGATCCGGAGCGCGCTTGGCGCTTCCTGTACCTATGCGCAGTCGCACTTGGCGCTGCATGCTTGATCAGAGGCTATGCCTCATGTATACTATCTCTCCTCATGTCTGGTTATCTTAGATTACCGATATACTATAGATTACAGACTGAGCTAGAATACCTATAGTTAACACTATAAGAGTAGATACATTGTTGTAGATTAACTTCACTTTAATCTACTAGGTTCATCCCCAGAACTTGCTCATCTAAGCTTACCAGCTTCCTTGTGTGAGACCGCACTTCTAAGTCGCCCCCATACGACTTAGCACGTATCCGCTAGCCCTGCATCTCGACGAGCGCCGTCTTACCGAGATCGCCGGAGGAATCCTTGACGTTCCGTCAAGGCTAGACCACGCTCAGCTTCAGTAGACTCACTCGAGTCGTCGCTGAGAAGACCTATCCTAGTTCGCACACGCCGACCTACAGTCGTCGTAACAGCGTCACAAAAGGATATGGAGTATAAGATGTTGGGCAAAGGAGACGAAACTCACAATCTTTTGACATTTTCCAGCAGTGAAATTACAGGTGATGTATGCGATACTCTTCTCAGGGCTATCGCAGAGGAGGAGTGCGATGACATCAACGATGTTCCTACTACCTATGATATGTGCTTTCCCTGCTCAATTTTGTGTTCCTTGTTACGCTACCTTTATTCTGGCTGCCTGGCATCTTCTCATATTACCATTTCAATCATAAACTATTCTTTGCCGTCTATTTTTGACCTGTTTGAACTTCTTGCGCATCTTACCCCTATCTCCTGCCCCTAACCAACTACCCGACTTCACTCTTCAAGCTCACTCCTTCTACTAACCACATATTCATAAGCACCAGCTACCTTGTCTTCATCTTTGTGAGACTCACACTAATTGGGAGATTGGCAGTTTACTACCAGTGCTTCGGTGACCGAGCCTCAATGCGCGTATGAAGAGGTCACTTTCGGACAGTGAGAAATGGCTCGTTAGGATCGTCTCAACAATTCAAGCATACCGATGACACACCAATCTGCGGTCGAGCATGGCCCATTACCCTGTACCGGAGTCTGCGCATGATAGGCTTGGTTCCACCTTACTTGACGTTGGGATCTGCTGCCACCACTGCAAGTTCAGTTAAGGGTGCTGGTACTAGTGTAAGTTCGGGTTGGTAACTTCAATTATATTTCGATCAAGGGGGCTTTCGGGGGGGGGTTATATTTTGAACGTGTATTAATTCCATGTCTACAGGCAGCGCGCAGTGCTACAACTACCACACATCTGCAACCCGCACTTCATGTTTACATCTGACTCCTGGTAAATGTAAGTATTCATCGTAAACCGAGCAAAGATGCAGATACTCACCACGCTATTCCTCCCGCTCCTGTTCCTACTCCCACTTTCCCTTCCAACCCAATTTCTTCAGCACCACACCTAGCCATTTCTTTATCGGCCGTTTGACACCTGCAGCCTCTGTCTTCACTGGTCTTTGGCTTTGAAAAGCCTTCATTCTTCTCTTAATTTCGTCTTGTTCTTCTCGAAGCTTGCGACCACGATAAGCGCTGCCGTACAGCTATTTCGACTTAGCTTTCTGAACGTTGGTTTGAGAATTCCACCTACATTTACTTGTGGACCCATACTGACTTGTGATCGATGTCAATCATCGATGTCCGTTCAATAATGATTTTAGAGTATTCCAGGACTCTGGCTAGTTTCGAGTCGAGCTTGATCACCCCGGAGCTTTTGAGTTGTATGTTTATATTTGTGTGTCAAAGTAACTTACAGTCGTCTCTTACATTTTTCTCACTGTCTGTAGCTTTGGACATGAAAAACGGGTGGCCCTCCTGCTTGGTGATTGACTGCTGGTTCCGAATCTCCCAGATTATAACTACGATTGACCAGTCCTGCTGATATGAGATCTGGACCTATGAAAATTGTGCGTCTCTCATTTGTGAACCCTCTCTCACTTTTCTGACTCATGGTTCCTATCATCGGTGTCGCTCTACCCCTCCTTTGGCAATCCCCCGCTACCTCTATCTACAAGTGGGTCTCATACCTCGTGGTAGATTTGCCACCCTCGTAGTTGGCTGTGTTGATCGATCGGTTGATCAGTCCAGACTCCACATGGTATCGCCCGTACAATGACTGTCGTGCTCTATCTCACTCCTCTTTCTTTAGCTACCACCATGAGCTCGTGTCTCACCTCTCATACCGTCATTCATGACGTACACCCATTTTCGCCCTTGCCAACAAGGATATGTTGCAGGTGCTCCAGCTGGTTTGGAGAACAGGCCTTTGAAAAGGGCACGGAGCAAGGACAATGGGGGACAATGGGTCGCGGTTGGTGGTGCGGATCGGATGGTGTGTGTTTGGGACGTCGAGAGTGGGCGTGCATTGTACAAGGTTGGTGTTATCCCATTCAACTTCTTGCGTGCGACTTACCATCTTTTTAGCTGCCAGTATCAGAACACAGGAACAAGCCGTCAGACATTTTCGAAATTGTGAGTGTACCGTACTGTGTGAACTTCCCTGCTCACTCTATGTAGGGTTCACATCAAAGGTCGCATCAAAGCTATCCAAGAACACTTGACTCACTTCAACCCTATCAGCGAGCCAGCTTTAGCTCCATCCATATCTATTCTTGTGCCATCTGTGCCTACCGAGTTCAAGGGTCTCCTCGGACCAGAAGATATCGAAACCCCTTACTATGCTGAGGTAGTTTCAGTCTTGAAGAGCGTATTTGGGCTGACTTCCTTCAGGCAAAACCAACTTGAAGCTATCAACGTGTTAAGAACGTGCTCAAGTGTCGGATCCAAAGGGCTTGGCTTCAGCTCGTGCGCTGCGCCCCTTACCCGAGTATGTGCCCCTAACTTCCGAGGGCTGTTGGACGATGTCCGGAGGTTGTCGGATGAGTCTGGAGTCCAATGTCCGATGCACGGGAATTCCGGCGGACGTTCGGGAACGAGGGATAAGACTAATCCAGACGATGTCCGAACTAGAAAGGAAACAACGGAGGACTACCAGAGGTAGAGGCGGAGGTGAGAAGTCTATAGGAATCGATCCTAAGACTAGTGGAGGACGATGAGAGGAGAAACTCAAGTCAGACGGAGAAGGGAATGAGCAGAGTCTAAGATAATATTCGAACTGAGGAAGTACAAAGATTCTACAGGGTTTATATACTACTGAGGACTTAATGGAGAATCAGTCTGCACAGTCCGAAGCTATGCGAGGCTGTGGACGGAGCGTATAGAAAAGTCAAATGCTAGTCTATTGGAAAATAGTAAATGAAGACGGAGATGAAGACATAGGAAAATAAAGGCGGAAATGAAACGAGGTACGGAAAATGAGTATAGTCTAACTGGAGAAGGAACGTACAAAGGGATAAGGCACGGAAGTTAGACGCGGGTTGGATCCGGACGATGGATAGAAGTCGGCCGGATCCAGAAGTCCGGAAATGATGTGTGTGATTGGTCCGAGTCTGGAACGCGGGATATGACACAATGCCACACTGGACGGAAAGGATGTCTTCGTCCTAATGCCCACCAGTGGTGGGAAAAGTCTTTGTTATCAACTTCTGGCAGTCTGTAAGACTGGTAGGACCCAGTGAGTAACATTTGTCATATCACCACCCGTTGTACTCATCACCGATTAAGTGGCATCCTTGCGAGAGAAGCACGTTAATGTCGACTGTCTAAGAACTGTAGATGACTCGTGGGATGTCATGTGTCATCTTTGAAGCCAGCAAAAACATGACATTTGCTATATCACTCCCGAAAAGCTATGCAAGAGCAATGCCATGCAAGATATCCAAGCTCATTGCCACCACCTTGGACGATGGAACTGTATGTGTGTGGGAGGGTGGCAAAGATGGTTCAAAGAGCAGCGTTGTAGTGTTTGAACTCGGATGTCCAGCAACAAGTGTTGTGTGGAGTGCGGATGGGCAGAACCTCTATTGGTGCGCTAGACAACAAAATTCATGTATATGACTTATGCAAGGGCGAGCAGGTTTATGCCCCGACTGGTGATACAGACACTTGCATTATCACCCAATGGTGCCTACCTCTTGTCGAGCTTATGCTACAATGTTCAACACATCAGCGGAACAGAGATGTGCTGTGTTTTTTTGCAGAGACAAACAAAGAATAGGACAGCAAATATCGTGTTTCCTCACTTGCTATGTAAATACAATTTGTTGTCGAAGAGCAGACCGAAGGCGTGTCCTTGTTATAAATTAATGGGCAACTATCCAAAGGGGACCCGGGCACTTGTAATTTGTAAATATTATATTTTAAATATGGCCGGAGCTGGCTTGAGCCGGCTTGAAGGCCATAAACATGGCTCCATAGACTGGACCAGACCATAAATGACGTAAGCCATAACTAGGTACCAGTGTTGTGTTACCTGTTCCAACTCGGGGCTTTTTCGCTTAATAGCTCTCAGTTACCAGCAGAGTACCACCGAGAGACCCCGGCAACGTTCGGAACCGGTCCGTCTACACCATTTCCTTTGTACTCCTTTATTAAAAATACCGTGTTTATATACTCCTTGCCTGTGAGCCCCCGCGTGTGTCGTTCTTCCCATTTGCCTCATCGTCTATGTCGTCCCTGCACTCAATCCTCGTTCTCTCCACCAAGAAAAAATTGATGAGGTACGCAAATTATTATATTCTTGCACTTAATCCTCGTTCTCTCCGTCAAGAAAAAATGGATGAGTTACGCAAATTGGTATATCCTCGCATTCGATTTTTGCTCTCCGCCAAGAAAAAATAGACGAGTTATGCAAATTGGTAAGTCGCGTACATTGGTCCATCTATTCCACTACTCAAGAATGCCCCAATACCCTGCTTAGACTGCTGTACATGCTAATACAAGCTCATGTCTGACTTCCAGGTTCTTTTCTCAATGTCGGATGTCTCGAGATACGATAGTCAATGATACCGGCACCTGGCGTCAACGCATATGTTAATGTGCTATATGTTGACAGCAGCATATCTCTATTGTCTGCATTTGACCTCTGTGCGAAGCGGTCTTGGTTGATCTTGCAGGCGAGTCGGTCTGGAGTGAAGGGCAGTTGAAGGTTATTACTTTGATGATTAGTATGAGATTTGATTCGTTGTTTCTGGGATCAAACTATATGCATTAATGTCAGTATATACTGTTAAAAATGTTCAGTTTGTGCCTACTTTGTCGACTCATGAGTGCGCTTCGCCCAGTATAGATGTGTTGATTCGTTATCGCAACTCTGTCAATCCCATGTATAATGTGGAAGTCAATGCTAGATGCGGCACGGACATGGTATTGGTATCCATGCATGATTCCTGCAAGCAACGTTAAGTTGATTCACGATTGATGTTGCGGTGTGCTTGCTCATTCACGTTTGTAGTCGTTGGTGATGCCTTCCATATTGCAATGGGTATGAGACTCATTGGCCAGTAAATTGCAGGCAATGCAAACTTCGAAGATTCCTTGTCTTTGAGCTATGTTACGATATCAATATGTTATGTTATAAGCGGTAGTTTTATAATCATTTGTTTTGTATACTAAGCGATGGTGTACGGGGGGGTTGGTGCTACGGATGTTCGGACTTGAATGTTACCTCATTTTCGAACCGATCAAGGCTCCGAGTTGGAACAGGGCACCTGATACTCCTAGGTACATAGCTCCGCTAACTACTAGATGTCCACGGGAGTTCGCGCATTTTTGGCAAAACGGTTATTACTCCACATCGCACAAACAAATAAAATTAATTATTTGACAGTTCGATAGCGTGACATTGAAAGTACAACGTCTGCTAGTTTCTTTTTCGAAAATCGACGTGTTGAGTCCAGCAGAGAGTTACCGCGCAGAAAAGTGCAATTTTCCCTAGAGTTCGCGCACTTCGTCACACTATGTCACACGTCTGCCGCAATGCCTTTTCACGCTCCGCAGAGTCCGCACCGTTTGAGTATTGTGAAGTAAAGCATTCCGGCATTGCGGAGTTTTGATTACACAGTCTCTATGTAACGCTTTGGGCAGATTGTCACGTTTGGGGCTTATTTCTTCATCGCAGATGATCCTGACAAGCATGTGCCCCGGATAAATTTGTTTTAGTATTCTCTAATCATGTATAACCATCTCACAATATTCCAGAATTATATGTGGAGATCTGACCTTTAGAGCGAGCCTTCTATGCCTCTCGCACTGATAAGTTGTCCATGGAACAAGATCTACTTCGATTTTCTTCAAAAAAAAAATATGGCAGTGTGTATTATGTTTGGGCGAATCCAGATCTATCATGGATAAGGATTCCGTGTAGAATTGCGTGTGCTAGAGTCAATGCGCGGACTCTTGGGACACACGGACTCGTGGGACCATCTAGTACAGCTCCGCTCACGGCTAGAGCCGGACATAAGCCGGAACCGCGGCAACACTAAATGACACACATAGGATGTCACTAGTACTGCGATATTGATCTCGACAAGACCAGCCTGGCAACGTGACAAGTCACTACTCGCTGTACGTGAAACTTTCATGCACAGCCTGAGTTATCATTGCATCAACTTATAAGTAGTATGCGTTCTAGGCTGATGCCTACACGGCCTCCTGTCCATTAGCCAATCAAAGTCTCCTCTCGCATATCCGAGGTTTTTTCGACGACACAAAACAAATCCCGTTCACGTACGTCGTTAATTATGCCTCACAGCTGTGTTGCATCCTGTTGGAGGTTCGGTTTTCCGCGGTCGTTTTTCTACTTTTGGACTGAAGAGTCTCGCAACCTCACCACTTCGTACCATATGGCTGCTGCTTCGCATCACATGGCTGCTACCTCTTATCACTTTCAAGCTCCGTCTCCAATCGCATAAGTATCTTGCTCCCTCGTTGTTCGCGCACTTCAGTTGCTGTTCACCAACGCTGAGCGCTGAGGCCTCGAGGTACGTATCTTGTCTTTCTTGCACGTAGCTCCGCACTTACTTGGACCACCTGTGCGTACTTTCTACAGGTACTTAGAGCATGTCAATATGAGTTGTTGTTCACCAACGCTGAGCGTACTTTCTACACACCCCATAATACACCACAATGCTCACCACATGCCATCCCGACCCTGTCCTTTACCCTGGATTCGAAATTGCCTGCTTTCCAGACCAAGCCGCGCAAATATCGAGCGTCACTCAGTAGTAGTTGACGCCCCGCATTGCCAGGCAAAACGCGTATGCGGCGTCACTGTATCCCTGTTGAATGTTCCATTCCTCTTGGTATCATCGTCTCCTTTGAACTATATCTCACCTCACATAGAGAAATGCTTCGGTAGGAGAGAGACGGAGGCCACTTACGCGGCCAATCCGGACAAACGCTACTGCAGGTAGTTCACGCCCTTCCAATAGCACTGTCACCCATCGATCCCGGCACAGCTCAAACAAATTCGTCTTCACAATCCCATGCCACTGTTTATATGTTACTCTCGTCGTCGGTAATACAACTTCGAGCATTACTCATGTGACGATAAAATACCCTGCACTCTAGATTCGCTTCTGGCTTTTATCTGTCGTGCCTACCTCTCCTGAGTATACTGACGGTCGTCATTAATTTCTTACTTCCTATTTGTTATCTCATCCCTCGAGTACATCTCATGGAGACATGACGTTTATCGCACACTTGATGTAAGTATGGCGACCTCATGTGGAGCCCGCACATAGCAGTCACGTAAATTGCTTCCACGGAACATTTTGTCCTTACAGATGGTATATGTCTGAGCTCTAAGCTTCATTATCGACATGGTTATTTACTGTGTAACGTGTTTTATAAGGACATGATGCTCACCGTCAGATTTCGATCGGACTCGGAGATCCATTTCTGTTGGTGAGCTATTTGCCAGGCTAATGTCAGTCAACTCGATAATGATGTCCTGAAGGCCTTCGCTCTTTGTTTTCAGTGTCCCTACTCCCTCAGAGGCAATGACATCATCCAGATCATAATATGAATCAACCACACTGTTAAATAAAAGACCTATTAACATATCTACAAGCGGTAGGTAACCTTGTAGACAGACATATAAGTTAAGTTATGGAAATGGTATCATTATGCCCGTTAAACCGACATTCCGCTTCGTGACCGAACATGCATGAGTGTCATTCACTGGCGCCTCGGTGCTCACATCTGAGGCCTACTCAAGGGGTACTCATCTTGATACGAATCTGCAGACTTGTAATCTTCGTTGAGGGGAAGCATGATGCCTGCAACACCATAGATGATCACAACGGCGTACTCCATGAGCATGTCCATTACGAGGTAGATTTGCCATTCGCCCGTGATCATGTTGAATTTTGCCAGATCACTGGTGTTGGACTCGGTGGTTCCGGTTACCGAAAACGTGCTCGAAGAGAATGTGGACAGAACGCTGTAGAGCGTCCGAATGGCCAAGAATGGCAGTGCAATAGAGATAGCCTTCAAGAGCTAAAGATAAGGCGTAAGAAAATAAGTCGAACAGATGATAGCGTTCCGGAAAGCTCACCTGCTTGCGGTATCTCATGACAAAGCCAACTTGGGTCCATACGTGGACGCAAATGCCAACAAGGATGATGTATAGGGCGCAAAAGAGGAGCACACCGGCCCTGCGCATAATGTTCCCACTCGAGTCTGAACTGGAACTTGTCTCATCGGAGATGCCGGTGATGGTAAGGATGAGAGCGACCGTGCCAAGGAGTTGAAGAAGGCGGAATTGTCTGTTATATTTCGAAAGGCCATCGGGAGTTAGGAACCTATGATAGTGTTCAGCGCATTCGATCTACGATGACAACTGGATGAACTTACATTGAGTGCAACAGACCCAACGTGCAAAGCAACAGTGGGGATAGGCCAGATAACTCTAGGGCATAGCCGCCGGTGTAAAGTGAAATATTGGCGGGCGTGATATCCTCAGCTGCGACAAGTAAAGCACCTCCCAATACTCGGACTGAAGGTATAACAGGGTTAAAACTATAACTGCAATAAATTAAACAACTTACTGATGCTAAATACCAACAACAAGACCCAACCATCACCTCGCGATATGCCGTACTTCATCACCAACCTGAGGGAAACGAATAGGAAGGGGATATACATTGCGATGGTCACCGCTGCAAGGATGCCCTGAGAGTCGAGAGCCATTTTTCCCGAGAAACTGGAATTGAGGAAAGGAGGAGGAGGAAATTGAATATGGAATTTAATGATGGGATAGTTGTCAGACTGGTCTGCCTTTTGTATGAAAACATAGCGGAATCAGTTGGACAGCGGGCAGTGGGCGCTGCCTGTGCTGCCTCGTTGTATTCATCTCCAAAAAGGTGAACTTTCTTGGATTTGACTAGCAGCTGCGAGAGGCTGTGATATCGGAAGCGAGGTTGAAGCGGATGCAAAAGTTGAACTTCGCACTGCGTGGAAAGTTGAAGTAATAATACTGCGCACCCACTGTCGGTCCTTAATCACAGCCGATCATTAGGTTAAACGTGATGTGGCTGGCAGGACAACCAGGTACTATCCCTCCCGAGATCGACAATAATGTCACTGTACAGCATGTCACATAACATAAGTAACCGGTTTCAAAGTGCTCGACGACGGTGAAGCAAGAGCGCGGATTCAACGTTCAACGTTCAGTATTCGGTACATATAAGCGAGCAAGTACGTACGGTATTCACTAGTAGACATGTCTACAAGTACGAAGGTGACCATTAGTGCTATAGGTGACTCGGATGCGAGATCCGGAGCACGTACATTGTACGCATGTAAGTTCGATGATCAGAATAGATTATGATGAAAGCCTAGCTAGATTAGTAGTGCAGAGCTGACAGTGATAAACATATCTAGCGGGCGCTGCGCATTGAGTATTGATATTGAAACTCCGTCACGGCACCAAATCACATTTCTGCGTGACTTTGGCACTTCAATTGTGGTTGTTTAACGTTCGTTTAACCTCTGTCAAGAACTTTTGTGCAAGTAGCTAGAAAAACGAGTTTTGTCAAAGTGCCGATTGTACCGGAAGGAATAGCACTACATTGTACGTCGAGTTGCGACGCGCACAATATGATTGGATTCCAACATAAGTCCCTTTAGGAAATTAATATTTGATCCTAAATGCACCGACACTTCATATGCACAACCACAATAACAGTGGCTGAACAGCCTCTTGGCAGTGCAAACAACTGGCACAGACCAGTCGTCGGTTTTTAGGCTTCAAGTAATCCAAACAGTGTTCGGCACAGTTTCTGAGCCTACTTCTTCGCGTCTCGTTCAGCTTCCGAGTCACTGCGGACTTTACTAAGCTTTTGGGGATGTAGCCTGTAATAGGGCACATGCCTTTCGGCAGGGACGAGGAGATAACGCCACACACGTCATTCAGCAGCAGTGGCTCGACAAGCTAGGCTATGGGCGCTGTGGTCGGACACGAGCAAGGACACTACGCCTGCTCGATCATGTACTAACTTGTGGTATCGTCGTAGATGCTGCTCCCCTTCAAGTTCGACCGACCGAAGACAGCTCAGAGACTGATCTTGTCGCTGCTCATCATGTCAGCCAAAGACAGGTAACGAATATAAAGCAACATATGACCATGTGATCAGCATGATTGCTAGCGAGAACTCATCAGTTCATTGACGTCACTCAACGAGCCTCGCCTGCACAACCAGTCATATCAGCCAGCGCCCATGTCAGTTAGGTACATGAGAACCCAGCCTATCAAACAACAAGCGTATCTTTCACATATTTTACATGTCGATGTCAATTAGTGAGAAGTTCCTCTGATGTTCCAGCAAGTAGGCATAACTTATGTGTGGGTACTGCGGATCTGTGTGTATAGGTCTGTTATCCGAGTCTATGTATAGACGCATTAATGATAGCCTATAGGGCGTTTGAGCGGAACAATGTCAATTGAACTGACAGTTGGTTGTGATGATCAAGGTTTATAAGGTTTGATAGACATTGAACGGAGCCAGCTTCCCATTGGGTGTTGTTGGGTGTGCCCAATAGAATGAGGTCGGATGCGTATGAGCGAGATTCTGGCCCATTCTGGTTGCGGCCAGTTCGGGATTCTGCAAGTTGAAGGCTCGATGCGGAGTGCGAACGCTTTATCAATTTAACCGTTGTGCCATGATCCGTTACAGGAGATACCAACATGGACTAAATCCGTGAAGTAGCTTGTAACTAGGGTTCAGCATATCTCCTCATACAGTAGAACGTACATCTCACGCACGAGCATTAACGACTCGGAGATGACGAGTTCGTGGAGCAGTTGGTCGGTGAGAGGCAGATATGATCTGAGGCCCAATTTTGGAATATAATATGATTGGCCAGGCAGTGTAAACACGATCATGAGGATGTCACATGCAAAACGTAGTTCGAACCTCCAGTGTACTTAACTCTGACTCCACCTTTGACAAACATTCATTGTGTCTTGGTACACCAACATTGAGATCTCCTCAGAAACATCGTCGTAAGCGATGAGTGGAACTTTGTTGTGGGGTGAAAGCTGAGACGGAGCTGCGCCCAATAGTTGTTTGTGTCTTCACCCATCGAAGGAAGGCACCCATGATAAAGCCCCGCCAGAAATTTGAAGGACACACCGAATGGGTCCAGGACGCTTGGATAACGAATGATGACGTATTCAAGAGATGGCTCGCTCCGGGAATGAAACTTGAAGAGTGGGGAAAAGATAGGAGACAACTTGCGAGACGGGAATAGCGGAGTACGGAACATAGCGTTATATCCGGACGTGGTAAGCGGAAGTGATAATACTGGAGTGAGGTTGGGATATGCAAAGTCATCGCGCGACGGATGGGGCATACAAAAACAGTGAGGTCTGCGTGTTGGGGTCGAGATGGCCGGAAAATGGTGTCCAATCGAGACTGGGTACGAAGTAGAGGCAGTTGTCTACTCACCAGACATGACCATGTTCGCGACTGCTGGAGGCACCTTCACGATTGCTGATACCGGGGTGCACCCGGACAAAATCTGGGATGCGAAGATTGGCAAGCTCGTCGCCACTCAAAACATCGGTTGTGTGAAGTGGCCAATACCCAGGAAAAAACATTTTTGTGAGCACAAACATATGCAAACATGTTGCATGGAGTGGAGTTGAAACTGTTAGGCTTTAATTAGTGTTGCGGCTGTGGGCAACACTACGGTGAATCAGAATCATCGTCTTCTGTTATCGAAACGCTACCATATCTCCTGCAGGCACTGTATTTCACGAAGGTGCTTAAACACCTATTTAACAGGCGAAACCGACATTTCAATTGTGGAGGGTGTGATAATAACCTCCTTCAACCGTAATCAATTTCGGATGCCTCGAGCGAGCGATCCGCATTGAGCGCACATTGATCTTCATCGATGTTTCATCGACATACATGATGGCAAATTTAGGTGTGATAATCATGCTAATCTGGCGATTCTGGCCGGCTGAACAACTGTACAGTTTTTAAAATTATATCTTACATATCTTACATTCGGAACATCTCATCCAGCTCTCATTCTCGGAGGTCAAGGCTTACCATTCGAACACAGTCCAGACAGGTTCAAACGGTTCATACGAAAGTCAGACAACTATGAATATTGAACCTAACTACAGAGAACATAGGTTGGACCGGGCCCAGTAGTTAGTTCAGTGTCCGAACCCGGTCCAGACGGTTCATGAATTGGACACCACCGACTTCATTTGTGGAGTGCCGATTGCGCCGGAAGGGAAATACCAGCATTCTGTTAGATTCGGAAGGTGCGCCTTTCTAAACGCAACGCCCCAGACACCACTCAAGACACCACTCACAGCCTCTTGTCCGCCATGATTTCCTACAAAAGGCAGGCAAACATCCCATCTTTTCCCTTATTTTTATCCCTCCTCCTTCTTTGACTCCAGTTTTCCAGGAAACATGGCTCTCAACTCTCAGGGAGTCCTTGCAGCGGTGACCATCGCAATGTATATTCCCTTCCTGTTCATTTCCCTCAGGTTGGTGATGAAGTACGGCATATCACGAGGTGATGGTTGGGTCTTGTTGTTGGTATTTAGCATCAGTAAGTTGTTTAATTTATTGCAGTCATAGTTTTAACCTTGTTACACCTTCAGTCCGGGTATTGGGTGGTTCTTTGCTTGTCGCAGCTGAGGATATCACGCCCGCAAACATTTCACTTTACATCGGCGGCTATGCCCTAGAATCATCTGGCCTGTCTCCACTGTTGCTTTGCACGCTGGGTCTTTTGCATTCAGTGTATGTTCATCCAGTTGCCATTTTGGATGAAATGTGCTGAACACTATCATAGGTTCTTAACACCCGATGGCTTTTCGAGATATAATAGACAATTCCGTCTTCTTCAACTCCTTGGCACGGTCGCTCTCATTCTTGTCATCGTCGGTATCTCCGAAGAGTCAGGTTCTAGCTCAAGCTCGAGTGCAAACACCATGCGCAGGGCCGGTGTCATCCTCTTTTGTGTCTTATACATTGTCCTTGTCGGCATTTGCATCTTTCTATGGACACAAATCCACTTTGTTTTGAGATATCGCAAGCAGGTGAGCTTTCCGGAGCATCGTCATTTATCCGACTTATTTTCTTATGCCTTATCTTTAGCTCTTGAAGGCTGTCTCCATCGCACTGCCATTCCTGGCCATTCGGACGCTCTACAGCGTCTTGTCCACGTTCTCTTCGGATTCGTTCTCGGTAACCGGAACCACCGAGCCCAACACTAGCGACCTGGCAAAATTCAATATTTTGACGGGCGAATGGGAAATCTACCTCGTAATGGACATGCTCATGGAGTATGCCATTGTGATCATCTATTCTGTTGCAGGCATCGTGCTTCCCCTCAACGAAGATTACGAGTCTGCAGATTCGTATCAAGATGAATACTCCTTGAGTAAGCCTCAGATGTCAGCACCGAGGCGCCAGTGAATAAGAGTCGTGTCCATTACCGAAGCGGACATCTGTTTGCGGGCTCACTTACCATCCGTAAATATGAACACGATAGACGTCACCGTGGCTCTAGATTGAATTAGCGCTGATACAGTACGCACTTTTACCAGCCATGCATCTACGCACATACAAGTACTGATGTCGATGAATGGGATACTTATACATGTCATGTAGTTCAAAACTTGTCCGATATTTTCGTTGACCTATTTAATTACCTATCGACGTGACAGTTCACTTTTGGGCTTCGCGAATGGGCTAATATAACTTTAGCTAAAGCACCAATAGAAGCGATGCGCTTCCTTTCTGAGCAACCACTCCCAAAGTTCAATCCGACGTTCATTGAATTTCAATAGTTATGCGTGATGATTAAAATCGATGACGTCTACCTGCAGCTGGCCACGCGCGGGCGCCGACTAGCTGTAATCCAAAAGTGCCACATTCATATTATCTCTATGAATGTCAGGCCTGGTCATCTTCAAGACATCACACCCCCGCGATCCGGACTGTTTGGAAGCCACACTACCTTCATTGTGAACTGCCGCTAAAGCTATGATGTGGCAATATTCACGCGTGGTGATGTTTTGTCAAAGTTTGTAAAGAAAGATGGAACATCAGGGTGACTACTATTATTGATTACGAAAGTTCTGGTGGTAAGAGACACGGTAACTGACGCACTAAATGAGTACCGAGCATTGGCGACTCGGGGATGACGGGAGTAGTCCATGAGCGAATCATTGAACTTGAACATGCACGGCCCGGCTATGATTACAGCTTCCTCCGATCAACAATGATGGATATACAATTTCCCCTTGTTTTTATGTATACAAAGCAGGATCCTATGTATGATACTGGTCACCGTTGAGTAATACGCAAACTGTCGTATCAGGCATACAATCTCTTCGTGTACCTGCAGGAAAAATCAGCGACACATCGCAACGGGACGCCATCATTACTCACGAATGCAACCCATGAACGCCCCCCTCCACCTGAGCACTCGGCGTCCTTACCTCGAATCTAACGCGACCCTCCTTCACACCTGTCTGCAACTCTGAAACACTGCGCACGCCAATATCCTGGAGACTGTGCTGGATACCGACGTGTAGGTATGGAACAAATGCCTTGACGCTGCCCTTGTCTTGGACGTCACCTGACACACCTTGAGCGACTTTGACAGCGGAGGACTCGGAGAAATAGCGCGACGTGGCGGCATTCTCGTGTGGCTTGCTCGAAAGGTGCGGAGTGTGCTTCGTGGAACCAGGCTTACCATTGACCTGACCAGACGCGCCAGGTCTACCCTGCTCCATAGCCTCAAGACTACCCATGCCTCGGTAGGACTTCACACGCTTCCCATCGTGGTAGAAGTACTCTCCCGGAGCTTCTGTGGTGCCTGCAAGAAGCCCTCCCATCATCACAGCGCTTGCACCAAGCGAGAGTGCCTTGACAATGTGCCCGATATTGCTGATACCGCCATCTGCAATCACCGGGATACCGAACTTGGATGCAAACTCGGCAACAGCAAACACAGCTGTGGCCTGTGGACGACCAACAGCCATGACCTCCTGTGTGATACAAATGGAGCCGCTACCCATGCCGACGCGGAGAGCGTCTGCCCCAGCAACGATGAGGCTGGCAGCTTGCTCACGAGTGACGACGTTGCCTGCGATGACTTCGAGCTTGGGGAACGTCTGCTTGATCCATTGTATCATGTCAATCTGAAAGATGGAGTTGCCCTGCGATGAATCAAGTACGACAATATCGAGACCAGCCTCAACGAGAAGCTTAAGGCGCTCTTTGTCGCTGGGTCGTGTGCCGACTGCAGCTGCAGCATACAACTGCTTGCTGTTAGGATCCTTACTAGCAAGCGGGTAGTTTTGGTTTTTGAGGAGGTCAGAGCGGGCAAGGAGAGAGGTAAGACGACCTTGGTCATCGACAATAGGGAGTTTGCCCTTTTTGGAAGAACGGAGGATCTGGTTGGCCTCTGCAAGCGTGACACCCTGGGGAGCAGTGACAAGAGACTTGGTCATGACCTCGCTGAGGAGTGTCTGAGGCGACTCAAATTGTACGTCGCGTGAGGTCACGATACCAATAAGTTTAGCTCCCAGGTGGCCGGTTTCTAAAGAATACGCATTAGGTTTTGATCACACGAGCACGATAAACAAAATGAAAGGTCAGATGGCCAAAGAAAATGATATCCGCAGATCACAGGTGAAACCCGTTACTCGGAAGAACGAAGGTTATTGGTAAAGGTGTTCATCAAGGAGACGCAGGTGAAACGCATAACGCACCTGTAATAGGTATACCACAGAAACCAAGACGTGCCTTGATGTCAAGGACGTCTGCAACCGTGTGATTTGGAGAGAAGACGACAGGATCCGCGATGAAACCATTCTCATGCCTTTTGACGGCTCGAACCATAGCCGCTTGAGATTCGGGAGACTGATTATGATGAATGACACCGATACCACCCAGCAGCGCGAGACTGATGGCCATGTCAGTCTCTGTAACGGTATCCATAGGACTACTCATGAATGGGGTTCTGAGAACGACATTACGAGTGATTTTGGTATCGGTGATCACATCAGAAGTAGGGAAATCGATCTTTCCGGGAAGCATAAGAAAGTCGTTATAAGTGAGACCACCATGGATGCGGGAGTCCATGAGATCCTTGACAGAGAGACCGTCTAAGCATTGGTAAGATGCTAGATGGGCGACGGCGTCTGATGAAGATAGGAAAGTTGCTTTCGATTGGGCAGGCATTTTCAAATCGTGGAAGTGTGCAAAGCCTGTAAAAAAACGCGTGACGCTTATATAAGCGAAAACCCCTAGGATTGGGTTTTTTCTCAGCAGCTTATTCATGAGGCGAGTAAACACCATATGCATAGACTCATTTGATGCGATGTCACATTGAATGTCATGCCATCAGATTTGGATGCGTAGTACAACATTAAAGGCTAGGTGTTAGTTATACAGCCTAGGAAATCATCATGTGATCATATTTTGGAGGCACCATGGTCCATGATCAACATCCATGATGGACACAATGAGCAAGAAGCGGGCTCACCCTTTCCTCTTATTTGCAGCTGATTGACCCACCATTAATACCTCCATTCTCAATGGTACAGCAATTCGCACAGTGGCAATTCTGAATGGCAGATGGCATATTTCATTTTGATGGTACTACAGTTATGGACAAGCAAAGTCTGCAAATTGTATAGGGCCTGCTGGTGATTTTTTCAGGCCAAAGTTCAAACTGAAGCTGGATCCAAACTCAGGCAGTGAAAATACGTCTAAAAACACTGCTCCAATGTTTTTCTCACAACATTTCTGGCACACCAAATTTTTGAACAGTTCAAGCATGTTGTGTATGCTGACATAACAATAAAACTATGACAGGACTGCTTTGATTGCCATCATTGCATGCTGCAAAACATGATGGTGCTGTCTCTGTTTGTGCACGGCCCATTCTGCTGCTTTCCCAGTCAAACCTATTCTGTATGCACTCATAAAATGGTATGATCTGTTAATAAACCACCAGATACAGGCTATACTGTGATAATGATACATTACTTACCTAGCAATAGTAGTATAAATGTAATACATGAATCAGTCTGATGAAGAGCACCACTACAAACAGCAGTGGTGATGTATTACTTGGCGGATCCAAATGCCACTCACCCTACCTTCTTCTGTTGGGTTCTTTTGATCATTCCTGTACTGAAGCAGATTGAAGCAGTACCTAAATATAATTCATTGTGTGGTTCTCAGCTTCTGCCGCTTTCTCATGTGGGATTATATCGTGAGTAGAGTATTTTCACTGTCCTTTACATCTTGTATACTACTTGTATTTATACTATAACTTTGCTAATAGAAAATAACCAGTCTGCATGATGAACATAGGTATTTGTAAGTATCAGGTACTGCATATTACAAAGAGCAGAAGATCTGTAATGTTAGCGCTTGCATCATACTCCAACACCTCAGTCCTCCTGCTCGTATTGCACCTGCTGCTGGCATCCTCTACTCCTTCGATATACTTGCCTCGTTCTTCTTTTTGGACCCAATTCAAAGCCTACACAAGGCACTGTGGGTATGTGTACAGTAAGTGCACAGAATACTATTGAGTGAACAGTAATAGTAAATACAATGTTGTGCTCAATGAGATACTATGAAAGGAGAAACAACAACCAATATTATGTGCACACGACACATCCTGTGTTGCGAAGATGTGTTTTCCCCCATGTGGAATATTTGAAAGTGGGTTGAGCATAAGTGATTTGAGATGCTTGATATATGTGTGAGCACTTTGAACTGTCTCAGGTAGGAGATTATTATAATTTGGAGATTTACTATGATTTTGTTCTAATCAAGTTCTAACATGAACCATCAACTCAATCATTGTTAATTTGTCACTGCACAGAATTCCAAGATGGTGGCCCAGTATAACCTGCCCTCTTCATTGAGTACCCTACTTGCTATGAACTCCTCAATATTCAGGTATGTCATGCTCCAATCATATCCTAAGTTATCATCACTTAAATATCAAACTTGTGTCGCTCAACAACTCTCTCAACCATGCCTCTGCCTCTGACACTAGCTTAAATCAATGTTTTTTGCCGATGTCCAGCTCAAGTCATTGCAATCAATAACTACTGGGAGGCTATTTCAATGACCCATGAGACAGTGTTCATTTGTGATGTGTGTCATCTGTAATTTTTTTAAATGAGGTCTTGACTATTGTTCTAACCTCTGTGCTCTCTTGTGGTACATATCCAGGACCATCCTCATTCCTCTGCACTGTGCTTGCTGTCACACCATGCCCTTGCACCACCACATCATCCACATGTCTGCGCCAAGGACCAACAGCATCATCACCACCTGCACCCACTACTAGCTTGCACAATCCACTGCCAGTGGCTTCGCTTGCTGGGATATTATATACACCAGCTACCAGCCCTATTCTATATCACCACTGCTACCTCTT